AGGAAAACACACTCTCATTTCTAAGGACGTTGTTTCCTCACCACTCCCTGTGAAAACAATTAGCAGCTCCAGTTACACTCGGCACCCTCAGATTGTCACTGATGTAATGCCGGATCATTTCTCAGCCAAACTTTCCTCTTACTGTCTCCTTCCCTCCCTCTCCCTCGCTCCATTTTTTGCTTTTGGCCATAAAACAACAGTGTGACAGAGGCTTTAGCCATCAACCCTTGGCCTGTGGCTCAGCCTCACCTTGTCTGTCCATTTCCTCTGCTTTTCATCTGTGGGTGTGATGAAAACATCGCTCCTCGCTGGACTCCCGCAGTTTGGCTCCATGCCTGTGTGTCTGTACAAACTGATCCAGACCTGATGTGAATCTGTCATAGTTCAGGTGATATTTCACTTGGGTATAGAAAAACATAAATTACTCACAATTCAACATAAGTCTGGAAACTGTTCTATAAGCTTCTCCCAGCATTAACCTCACCAAGCAGATGTATTTCCTGGTTCTCAGTGTTGATCATTTAAAGCACAACACTTAAAAGTGGGCCTTACTATGCAGCTTCAAAGCAGTCCCTCCAGTTAGATGTGGGATGATAACCTCTTAAAGGGATGTACATTCTTTACCCATTGTGGAAATATACAACAGTGGCTTAATATCAGAAACATATTTTTTTTTAATAAGGGAGAAAAGTGCCCCTTGGCTTTAAATTGAAGAAAACGTTGACGATTGTGTCATGAAACATTTAATAGATTAGTTTTCTGGCCTTTTATGTGTGCAGCTGCTGTGTCTGGAGGAAAAGCTGCTTCCCCTGGTGTTGTCGGCTCTAGATGAAGACTCTCAGATGGGCAGACTGTTTGCTTGTCGTTCTCTGTCCACCATACTCAAACTTGCAGGAACCAGTATGCACCCCGAGGCCCTCAACAAAATCTACCCCGGTAAGTCACAATACACTCAAAAAAAGTGTACTACATTTTACCACACTGCACAATGAAACTTTCATGCACGCTTTGAAATTATGTTTGGCAGTGTGTCCCAGTTTATACATCTAATCTTGGCAAACTGGCTGTAACAAAAACACACTTTTGTTTTCTTGTTCACTTTTGTCTTTCATGAAATAACTTTTCTCTTGGGAATTATTTTATTCACTGGGGCCGTCTCTCCACAGAGCTGGTGAAGCGTCTGGATGACAGCAGTGAGGAGGTGCGCAGCGGGGCTCTTCAGGCCCTGGGGCTGTGGTTGTCCAGCCTGACCAAAGACTACAACTGTGACTTTTACACTGCTCATCTGCAGCTCCTCTTCCAGCAGCTCCTCCTGCACCTGGATGACCCTGACGACTCGGTGCAGGGCAACGTGCTCGGTGAGACTGGGTGGGGTGGTGTGGGGTGCTTGAACCTGGAACCTCAGACAGAAGGCAATGCTCATGTCATTAAATGTTTTGTTGAAGAATTTATCTGGATCTTAGAAAATAGGACAAAGTGTTACTGTTTTAAGATTAATTACATCTTGAATGTACAGTAGTTTTTAATCCATTGTTGACATTCCTTCATACAAGTACTGATAAAAAATAAGCAGAGACTGTGAAAATAACATCATGGGAGGCATATATAAAACATCCTCATGTTTTTAATACTTGCATGTGCCATGACCTATGACCTTTTAGTATCTGAAAAACATGTTCAATTGTAACAAATACGAAATGTGTATCTTGCAGAGCAGCCTGCTGTGTCATACACACCCACAGAGGGATGCAAAGAATTATGGGTATCCTCTAGCAAAAATTAGATAATTGTCTGGCACACTGCCAACACATTCCCCTTGTCTTCTATTTCAAAAGATGTCCGTTTTTCTCCTTCTCCACACAATTCATCACCGATAGAAGCTAGACCAATTCCCCCTGCAAATGTAAGCCCTTAGTGACAGGGCTGGAGTTGAGATCCAGATATAGATCAGAACCTACCTGAGAGAGACACTTGACAGGTTGACCTATGAGAGCACCAATATCTGTGTAACTCCCCTGCAAGATCACCTGGGGCAGATTGGGCTAATCTCTGCCTCTTCACCAGTGTTCTCCCAAACACTCAGAACAGCACCATTTAATCACAACCACATGGGAACCCCTTCCCCTTACCACCTTTCCACATCTGTCCTGCAAACCCATCCTGCTCACTCTCTCCTAATACTTTTCTCCCCTCACACCCAGTGTCTTCTGTATTAGCCTGTAGCAGCGTCAAAGCTATGTTTTATAGACGCATCAGTGGAAAGTCTGAGTTCAATGTGCGCAGATCCTCTGGACTTTCGCTCTCTCCCACTCTCATAGATGTAAGCTGTCATTACTTCTGACAGGAAGCAGGTGAGCGCTGATGCCTTAGCCAGCGCCGTGAGGCCTCGCTGAGGGATCTCTCATCTTTATACGACTAGACATGGAGGAGAAGAGATAAAAGTATTCAGGCTCACACCAGATGCAGCAATAGCTTCCATACCATGAATTCTATCCCTGCCAGTCAGTGTTTGAAAGCTGTCCAAGAACAGAAGGCAATTTTGTTGTTGCCACTGGTTATTGGGTGTCTGTGAAATTGACAGCAGGAGGCAGAATATCATACATACTGTATGTCTGTATTTCATGCAGTTGAGTGAGTTTGTGGGTTGTGTTTTAAGGACACAGAAAGCTATTCTTTATTTCTATACATTCCAGTTTATAAGTGATTCATCTGACCTTTGCACTTTCAAACTATACTTAATATGAAACTTTAGTTATGAGAATTCATGTTTATTTTATTCATACTTTTGTCAACAAATCCCATGAAAAGACCCAAATTCCTTATAATGGATAATCATGCTAAATGTTGTACTAGTGCCTATGGCTAATTGATCCTACTAATATGACCTTTAAGATGTGATCCCTGGGAAGTACAGTGAATTCTTAGACGGATCAGACTCTATTTGTGAAATGAGATGACCTCACATGTTGCTGAGTGATCGTCTGTATCTGACAGCACCTTCAACCGCCTGCACCACAAATGTGGAAGCATTCCTCACTCTCATGCATGGCGCTGTTTGAAGCTGTCTTTTTTTCCCCCCTCCTCTCTCTCTTTCTTCTTCTACATCTCTTTGTTCCTCTCAAAGTTGATCCCATTCTTATGCTTCTTGGATTTCAAAAGCATATCTGTGAAGTGGCTTGATGTCTGCAGCATGTCCTGACAGCATGACGGACAGCACCTCTCATCTATTCTTCTCTCTCCCTCTTCCTTTCCTCCGCCCTGATAATCCCACTGTCCTGGCAGCCCGGCTGCTACCTGCTCAATCACACAGACAGTCGGCATGGCGATAACTCACTTCTCACAAATCATCTTTGTTCTCATTTTAATTCAAAGTCTCACTCCCCCGCCCCACCTCCATCCCGAGTACAGTATACACAAAAGCTAAAAAGTCCCCTCCATCTCCTTGAAGAACAAAGGCGGGTATCAGATGATGAGTTTACATGAGCTAACTCATCCAGAGTGATGGCATGTCACCACTTTTTCTTTGCGGTTTCAAATCATTTCCCATTGACAGCAGTGCGAGTAATTCAACCCACCTCTGAGAATCAGCATCACGGTGTGGGAATGATGGCAGGAAAACATGATAAAGGGACATATCACCCCCCAGTGGAAGGAAACAGCACCTACACATTCAGTATTTTACCTACAGTTGATGAAAGTAGTTAATTTGTGCCACCTACTGGTGAAGGGTGAGCACGTTTCTTGGATTTTATTTTCTGTGATTCTTTCTACGTATGTTTTTTAACCCTGTGAAGACTGTCAGTAAAACTCTTCCAGCCTCTATGTGTTCAATAAAGGGTTAGAGATTGGATTGCTTGTCAGAATCAACAGGAAGAATGCCTTAAGAGCAGTCATTCGTTTTTTACCAGTCTACCCCTAAAATTGAACTCAAAGGAATAGTAAGATATTTTAGACATTACGGTTATTGACTTACTTTTAGAGAGTAAGATGACAAGATCAATACAAATCTCATATCTGGTGAGCAGCTAAAGCCAGCTTGCTTAGCATAAAGACTGCAAACAGGGACAGGCAAAGAGTCACCTAATCCTTGTTTGATATAAGTTCCAGATTGCTCACTCCCGTCCTGTCCTGTTTTGTTTGCAGAGATCCTGAAGAAGGGCAGCACAGTCCACCCTGCGCTCCTGAAGAGGGAGGTGGAGGCGGTTAGGGACAAACAGCGGAGTTCTGAATACTGCGACCAGCTGCTTCAGCACATCAGCTCACTGCTCACAGAAACTTCAGCAGAGTGAACCGAGTGACATAAAACACCTAAAATAGAAAAAATGTGCCTTCATTTAAAAAACATTTCCTCCCAAATGTAACAATAGGCATTGGTGATATACAAATATGATGCTCATTTTATAGACTTGTTCTTCCTTAAACTCCACTGTAACTACATTTCAGTCCAGTTTTGACTGTGTGAACTTTTAATATGCTTTTCAATTCAATGCATTTTGCTTAACTTTTGTTACACTTTTGTTCTGCATCTGTTCCCTTTATTGCATTCCTTTGGTTCTGATGTTTGGCATGAAAAGACACTGTTTAGTTGTGTTAGAATGTTTTTGTTCTATCCTAAGATGTTTTTTGTGCATACCTGCACCCAGTCACTCAGCACCCCTGCCTCCAGATGCTGCTGAGCATGGGAGAAGCCTGGTTCTGTGATTTTACCTTCAAAAAAGAAAACCTTTTGTTATTGTATTTTGTAAATACAAATCTTTTAAAAATAAATCAAAATGTAAAACCAGCTTTAAGTATTTATATGATTGTTTTTTTATGGGTATATCTTGTCAAAATGTGATGGTGAAAATACAATTTTACACGTTTTTCTTTTTTGTTTGAACACATACATTGTATACTTTGAATGTGGTCACGTGATGTTCCTAAGTATTTGAATAAAGTCGTTTTTTATTTCTAGTTTCCAAACTTCACATTGACTATCAGAAATGCCACCTCTCCTCCTCCCTCGCATCCATCCTCTGCACTAAGTCGAGCGTCTGTCTGTTCCTCCACCATGTAGTGCAGACGGCGGAGCTCCATCCACATGCCATCTTTCTCCTCATCGGCTCTCTCATCCTCCGGTGCCGTCGCGACATAAACATATCCTGCTCACATCATGCTGCAGCTGGGAGACGAGGTGGTGTATTTTTCGGCGGTGTTTCTGCTGGTGATGCTGGGGACGAGGAGCGCAGCGGGGGCCTCCCTGCTCACCGCTTGCCTCTATGTCTTCATGGTGATGTTCCGGTTTCCTCCGGTGCCGGCGGACCAGGCCGGCCGCGTCCTCCGGCCGAGGGCTCCGTCAGGCGGCGTGCCGGTGGTGGCGCATCGCGGGGGGAGCCACGACGCTCCGGAGAACACGTTGACAGCGATCAGAGAGGTGACATGCGGCCATCTGTTTGGACTGTGTGTTATATAGACCCGCTAATCTCTATAGGTCATCGAAATGTTGTATTTAATTACCGTAGGAATCTAGAGTACTTCAGGTGCAAACTCGAGCAAGGTAGGCTATATGAGGGGAATATGATCGTGTGATAATGATAATCTGATAGCTGTTTACAGGCTTTTGCATGTGAGCAGGTCACCACATCCACTATTATAAAAGATCTGGATGACAGCTGTTTGCATTTAGAGAAGGGGCTGCTCGGCCTTGTATTCTAAGTGTAACCTTGAAAATGAACAGATTTAAATGCTATTTCATAATGAACTTTTTTTTTTAAATGACAATGCCAGCTATAGTTACATTTAACCCTCACCTTCCTGTTTATCTCCTCTGACACAGGCGACAGAAGGTGCTGAGTCAGCTGTGCCTGTACTCTCTCATGCAGTTCTCCTCATGTCAATCAAACCTCTGATCTGCTCACTTCCTTTACCCCTTTTTTATTTTTTTTTTTATTTCTTACTCATCTCTTCCCTGTAGGCTCTCAGTGAATGTGGTGGAATAGACTAATTATAAGTTCTGCTCTGGCTTTTGTTACAAGCTCAGCAATGCACCAATGTTTTCAGATCCAGAAAGGACACCTTCATAAACTTGTCTTTGTCATGATGACTAACCGTGTTTAGAGGTTTCTATATTTGCCGCTATATGAGATATCTATTACTGAATCTATTTTTGAATATCTCTGTTAGAAAACTTGATCAAACATGTTTTTCTTCACTGAATCTCCCAACAGGCCAAACCATTGGATGCAGTTTTTGGCAGATTATAAGTCGACTGAAGTCAAATCATTATATTTGTAGCATTGTCTGTCATAAGCGTTTGTTTGAAGTCTGGTTATTTTTAGCCTTGTTTCAGCCTGCTATTTTAGGACAGCATCCTTCTTTTGATAGAAACTAATGGCTCCTATCACACGCCAAGACTGGTCTCTGCCATTGACTACCAGTCTCACCTGGAAATATGTTGATGATCATTTATGGTAAAAGGCAATTGTCAAAAGAAGGGAGGCCCAAATTCTACACTGTTGTACTATATTCTGCATGACTCCACAGCACTGGAGAATATTCACACTGCCCAAAAGACATGAAGAATATCTCCTCACTGTGTCACACCTTTATATCTATTAAAGTGCTCTCCTGTTGTTTGAAAACCCAATTACTATTTTTCAATGACTGCTGTCTTTATGTCTTCTCCCTCTGTGATCCTCTGCTTTAGGCTAGTAGAAACGGGGCAACTGGAGTGGAGCTGGACCTGAGTTTTACCACTGATGGAGTGGCCGTACTGATGCATGATGAGACCGTGGACCGCACCACTAATGGATCTGGACCAGTCAGCAAACTGCAGTTTGTCCAGCTTAAGAGACTCGATGCTGCTGCCAGACACAGGCTAAAGTATGCTTCCAATTTAATTGAATCAGAAAATGTACGAGCATTACTTGATCAAGAGAAACAGCTTGAGAGCATGAAACTATGACTCAGCTGGGACATTGAGCTCCTTTCTGCCTTTACATCCTGCTGTGATTTCTTCTGGTACAGGGACAAATTCAGCGTTGAGAAGGTCCCAACTCTGCAGGAGGCGGTGCAGGAGTGCATCAAACACCAGCTGACCATCTTCTTCGATGTCAAAGGCCAACCTGATAAGGTATCAATACTGACCTAACCCTGCAGGCAGAACGACTCATTTTAAAGATACTGAAACGGGCAAATGTGGAACAATGATGTTAGCTGACTGCAGCCTACAAACAACGCTGCAGTATTCACAAACACTGTATAAATCATTTAAAGCTACACTCTGATTTTTCAAAGAGGCTCTAAATAAACTCATCGTTTAGCTCGTTTTAAGGACGCAATATTTCTTGTTAAAGGCCGTGTCGGCTCTACATGAGATGTACAAGAAGTTCCCTGTCCTTTACAACTCCAGCATCGTCTCTTCCTTTGAACCCAAAGTCATCTACAAGGTAACAAAGATGTGATCATAAAGACTTATATTCATGTTTAGAAGTCTATTTTGATGTTGCAAAGTTCATAACATGATCTAAAGGATTAGGGATTGTTGTGCTTTTTTGTTTTTCCTCCGTTTATAAAATTGCACTCTTACTCTCGTGTCTGTTCTCTTAATTGTTGAGAACTTATAATAGACAGCTTTACAGTTTGAAAGTGCTGATACTGTTGCACATCAAACTAATGTGAGACTAAATCTGAATGACAAGCCAGATCCTCCATTGACTCTGTTGGTTCTCTGTTTGCTTCAGATGCGTCAGACTAACCCCAGCGTGGTCACAGCTCTCACCCACCGACCCTGGAGACTGAGCCGTTTCGACGACGGCACTCCCCGGAGCGTGTCCACGTGGGGTCAGCTGTGGACTGGGGTTCTGGACGTCTTGTTGGACTGGGCCCATCACCACATACTGTGGAAACTGTGTGGAGTCTCTGCCATCCTCGTGCAGAAAGACTTCCTCTCACTGTAAGTGAAATATTTTTTTTTTTAATCAAAACAATGCACAGCTGCAAGGCTAGGGTAAAGAGTTTGATGTGAGATGTAAAGAACTTTCTTTGCTAAACATTTAATCTGTCTGTTCATGCTGGGACAGATTGTTTCATTTATGTAAAAATGACAAATGTCAGGCTGTATGTTCAGTCCATATAGAATAATGAATGCAGTCTTATAATAGTGGCATTATACAGAACGAGGACTTAAGAAAATAACTGAAACTATTAGAGCCAGCAGATTACAAAGTGTGTAAAAGGCTCCTAATAGAAATCTAAAGGATTACAAGAGTATTAATAGATGTAAACAGGATTCCCATGTTTAGATTTAGAGAAAACTGCTTTCACTTTTCCCGACTTTCCTGTAATTGTCATTTTTGTCATAAAGAAAACTTTTGCATTTAAATTGATTTACAACTCTCAAAATCGTCTAAATGTCAAAATGGAAGATTTGATTATTTTTCTCTTTGCACCTGCTGTCTGTATCCAGCCAAGATTGTTTGTGTGTGAAAAGACACACATCTCTGCCGCTCGTCACCTTACGTCAGTTACATTTTATGCAAGTTATTCCTGTTGCATCAAGATTTCAATCTGATAAACTTGATGATCCTGAAAGGGTTCTGGAGCGATCTAAACCTCCTCCATAGATATAAGTAAACACAGCTTAAATGTAATGGTTCATTTTTTTTATTACATTTTATTGGAAAACAAAAAAAACATGTTCTCATATTACGGTGCTATCTTGTGTTCCTGTTCCTTGTGTCACTCAGGGACTATGTTCAGTACTGGGCAGAGCGCGGCGTGGAGGTGGTGGGCTGGACTGTTAACACCGCCGTGGAGAAAGACTACTACCAAAACCTGCTGAAGATCGGCTACATCACTGACAGCCTGCTGGAGGACTGTGACTCTCATTACTGAATGTTCACACTTACACACACTCGTGTTTAACTGGGTCACTTTTAGGAATATTACAAACTGTAGATCCAGGCTGAGTTTCTACAGCAAGGACTTTCACAAAGAACCAGGCACCTGAGTCTTGTGGACCTTATTTCACCCCCAATATAGGTCCCTGATAGGCACTGAATGTTTCTAACTGGTCTATCATCACATAACTCAGGAGAGTCTATTGAAAGTCTGCAGGCTAATTTGCCCATTTTTCATGACTCTTTAGATCTAGGTGGAAACGTACAACAATGTGCTGGAGGAACCTTTTACTCTCTTACTAAGTAGATCCTGGTAAAAAAAAATAGTCCCGGGTACTTCTGGTGGAAACACGGCTTTATATTCTTCTCTTTGAGACTTGCCCTGACCCTAACCTTAACCACTGACCCCAATGAACCAGTCTTTAGTCTGAAATGTGTCCCTGAATAGAAGGCTAAGTGATGAACACACACACACACACACACACACACACACACACACACACAGAGGTCTTACATATACAGAAATATGAAATCCTAAAAGTATCCGACTTGTATAAATTTTATTTTTTAAAGCTTCTTCATTTAAAAATACAAGTATGATAATGACAACATTTTCCAGTTTCTTGTTCTGTCAAAGAGCACGAGATACTGAAAGGAAAAAGTTAATTTAAATTGTTTTTAAGAATGCTAGAAATGATGTGCTCATGAGCTCTGCACTGTAGTGAAAATCAAATAAGATAAGACCTGCCTCCATACATTCATGTCCTTATCTTACTACCAGCAGCTATACCTCCAGCTCTCCTGGAACAGGGATTAGGATTACACTACCTTAAAGATCTTTTCTACCTTCTGAGCTTTGATGCACCTTTAAAGAGACATCATTGTATATACTTGTAACATCGGACTCGTCAGCATCATATCGATATCTGCTGTTGTGATATTTATATAACAGTGGACTCTGGTGGATCTATTGTAAATACTGTGCAGGTTGAAGTGATGATTGTTTTTTTCAGAACTATAGCTTATGTTAATAACTGAAAAAAAAAAAAGAGAAACAAATGTGCCTGCAAAGAATTTAACCTTTTGTGGATTACTATAATATCTGATTGTATAGTCAACAGATTTACCCTTGAGGGAAAGTAAACACACCACTGAACCTGGGAGTATACTTTCTGCAGTTTAAGACAGAGATGAGTCCAGATAAGCACTTTAAATGTGCCCATTATAGGGACATCTTATAAGTGACAATGGCTAAACTAAATCTGGTCATTTATTAACATTTTAACAATTTCACTTTTCATTTGTTTATCTTCCCACATTAAGTTCTCATACATAGAGTTCTCCACCTTGGCACCTTTGACAAGAGGACATTTGAATTCCCTTCATTTTTTGACTACGTACACCTTCAAGGACTGTAGAGAGTGTTAGGAGTAGCATGAAGAAGCCAACCGTGTGGTATTTGCCTTTAATTATCAAATATATCATCTAAATTCCCAGATACAATTCAGCTGACATGAAGTCATCATTGACAAAAAAAGGTGACACCATTATCACCATCAATGTGTTGCTCAGAGATTAAAGAAAAATCAATATTTATTGTACTTGTCAAAGGTTTTTTTTTCTCACCCTAATAAGAAATCAATGATCATAGAAACAAAGCCAAACACATCTTAGAATGACTTTGCATACGTGATATAACACAAGAATGCTTTTAAACCAGAAGACTAATCTCATACATTTATATGAGACTTTTCTTTGTATACATGTATGTTAACCACTGAATGTTTAGGTCAACCTTTCATACATAAAAAGTAAAGTTTGCTTGTATTGTAATCATTGTGTATGTGTGATTTCATTATGTCCATGAGCTCAGGTGTGTGTGTGCGTGCGTGCGTGCGTGCGTGCGTGTGTGTGTGTTGTAAACACAGAGAGACTGATAGAGCTGATAGAGGTTACAGAGCAGGAAAATGAACTCTTGATCAAGAGGGCACAAAACAAATCGAACTTATCTGAAAGAGTTGTATTTGTGACATTTATTTTATAAATGGCCGAATAGAGGTCAGAGGACAAAGCGTTCACAACTCCACAATTCATTTCCAGTATAATTTACCTCGGTTGAAGAATTAAGTGGGGTAAATATAGTATTACGCAAAACGTCTACATCTAAAAAAAATGTTTTTTAAAAAAAGGTCTCATATTTATTTAAGAGCTCTAACCGTCCCTCATGATCTCCTCCAGTCCCGGGACACTGTCTCTTTAAAGCGCCAGGGGAGGCGTGTGTGTGACGTCGGGCAGTGCTGCGCTCTGACGGTGTGCGTACAATGTCTTATGAATGACAGCCGCCGTTTCAGGTTATGTGACATTGTGGCAGTGCAGGACACCTTAGCACCAAAGTGAGTAAACTGTCCGGACTTGAGGGTGGAAAGGGCAGTTGAAAGTTGAAAGGTTTCCCCGGATGACATGCGCCCCAGCAGCTGGTTTTACGCGGAGAGCAGCGCGGCGCACGGCTGTGTTTTTTTGAGTCGTTACCAAACAGATCTGCTTGGTCTGCGTGTGAATCTACTTTGGCTGCAAACTGGCACCCTGTGACTGGAAGTGAGATCCAGCCCAATCAGCTGACAGGAGGACCAACACTTCTCTCAGAAAGAGAGTTGTTTTATGCAACGACAGACCCTCGGGGAATGCGGTTATTTAAAGTGTCTTGTTTGTAAAAGAAGGGCCTGTTCCACCTGTTTCTGGACCGACTTCTTTCCTCGAAAGTGCCCAAAAAAGTTAACAGCTTACTATTTCTGCGCATGATGTACACTATTACAAGAGGTCCCAGCAAACTGGTCACCCAGAGAAGGACAGGTAAGGCTCGCAACTGCAACTTTCAGACGCACTTCCGAAATCTACCAGACATCCACGTTGATTTCAATGTTTAATGTGTTTATGTATCCTGTTCTAGGGCCCACTCAGCAGCTTGATAACAAAATCAACGACTTCAAGCACAAACAGACCTCCTGGAGCATGCCTGAGTAAGTGTGTAACTTTTGATGAGATTTCTCCTGTAAATGAAAAACCCACTTTGTGCTAGCACTAGTGTGACCTTTGGAAAATCTGAAATGTCTGGCTCAATTTGGCGTTTAGACTTTGTTTCCACATGAATTGGGTTGGTTAAAGTGTGTGTGTGAGTTAGTGGATGTCAGTGTCCTGGCAGCAGTGTGGACATCATCAGCTTGAGACGGGCTGTGTTAGGCCTGAATGATTTATAACACTCTGACTCCCCCAAGGCTCGAGTCCACCTGCTGGGCTGTTTTCATGCCTTTTATAACCAGCCAGGATCTGTGTTTGTGTGACCTTGTGGGAAGGCGAGGCGGCACATGGTCATTGACTCAGCTGCTGCTGCTGCCTCCAACTCAAACAGCCTTGCTTGAGTTTAGGCGTCTGACTTTGAGAGTTATCAGATGATATACTTGCAGAAACCATTCAAACTACTCGTGACATGTTTTTCTTCCTCGTCTTGTTCACGCCAGCCTCCCTGCACCCAAGATCGTTTTCAACCGACTAAATGGTAAGAAGTACCATCACCCTGCTCCGGCGCTTCCCGCAGACACCCAGAAGGAAGAGAGCTTCACTGCTGCACACGAGGAAAACGTCAAATTTGTCTATGAGGGTGAGGAAATGAATGAATGAATGAATGAATGAATGGAGAGTAGGAAAATGAGTGGACACTTCTCATTGGCCCACAGCATCCAGACACCCATCCCTCGCCAGCTGTTTTGTGAATGATGTTCTACTATGACGGGTTTATTTAGAACTCCTCCTCCTCTGTCCCCCTCTCCCAGGCCTCACCCACACAGCTGCTCTGACACTGATAGCCATGATAGGCACATACAAAGAAATGCTCTCACACCCACATATCGTTCTCCTCATGACCCTCGCTGGCACACTAAGGAAACTTTTTATTTGGGAGGGGGGAAAATGAGTCGGGCGACAAAGGGGTCTGACGGGATAAAAGGTTTTGTATGGTCCAGGTGAAACTCTACACACTGACCCATTTTCAAACGTTGTGTTCCTCTCTCTGTTACTACTTTCTGTGTGCTGCTGGCTGCTGAGTGTTTCAACTCAGCCACAGCAGCTCATAAACAACTTCAGTAACCTTGTCTCTGAGGAGACAAGGACACAAAGAAGGCCCAATCCCCCCCCCACCCACCCTCCTCTTCAGGGTTGAATCATTCCCTTTTAGTCTGAGAAACCCATTTTATAAACAAGAAGTTAAAGACGTGGCATGGAGGCAGCTACTGAAATCAAATCAGTCATCGTCTAAACACACAGTACGATACACATGCTGCATTATTTGAAATCCAAACGTTTGCTAGGAGTGGCAGCTCTTTCAAGCAGTTGCCCTTATGGACTTTACTTATGGGTGTGACACTGGGGTGCAGGACCTTTCTTTTTAAACTAGGACAGATAGGGACATTTGCTAGTATCTACTAATTGCATCATTATGACCTTACTTTGTTGTTCAGTTATTTATTACTATTAAATTGATGAACGAGTACAAGGAGTCTGCAACAACACAATGCAATATTGAATTCTGGTTACAGACTCTTGTAGTTCATCAGAAGCGTAATAAAATACATTTTCGACATGCTGTTAATAGTGTTAAAAATGCTTCATTTAGATCTCTGCATAATTGAAATAATCTGCTTCCTGAGATTATTGGATTAATGGTCTAAAAAGCAGAAAAGCAGTGGGAAATCCCTGTCACGATTTCCTCAAGCCCAGTGGGATTTTTCTTTCTGTGTTCAATATTTTGCCCGACCAACAGTGCAGAGATTCCAGAAGCTGGACCAAAATCAAATCTTTAAATACCGTCGCTGCAGATTCATTATGATTCAGATCAACACATAAGCATATCGGTATTAGCAGTAGATGTTCTGACGGTGTTCCTGTGTTCTCAGCCTGGCAGGAGGTGTCACAGCAGGAGCAGAGGCCAGAGGAGGCCCAGCGGGCAGTCGTCTACAGGGAAACCGCTCCCAGTCCACACATGGATAGTAAGTACAGCTTTCCCCTTTTTCAGAGCCTCTTCACACAGCTTCATCTGAACTGAGCAGCTCATGTCTTCTTATCATCCGTCTGCATTTAAGTGGATACATTTCAGGCAGGTTTCCACTGAATGTCAGTATTTAAGCCTGATAGCTTCATTGTTTACAGGATACATCCTTTAGCATGATGTCAATGTGTATACCGTAGAGAGAAATCTTTGCATTTCTGCTATTTAGTTTCTTATAATAACAGCCCACAGGTCTAAAACAACTGCAACCTGGGAAATAGTTTGAGCAGGTTTATAACAGCCAGCCAACCAAGGATTAGTGAACCTGCCTTTGATCCTTCCGGCTTGAAGGAAGCTCACGGGCCTCTCTCTCCTTGTTGTCCAAATTAGATGTGCTGACACATTTAGAAATTAGTAAGCACGGTTTTATGCTTTCTAAAGAAATAGATTAAATTGATAAATTCCCTTGCATGAGACATCAAGAGGGATTTCCATGTGGATGTCTGTTCTGTTAATGTTGTATACAAATGTCTCTGGTGAACTGACAGCCCTTACAGTTATAAATCAAACATGCATGCAGCCTAAATGACTCTTAATAACACTTTCAGTTATGTGAGGTTATACACTTTTCTCCTTTTCTGGTCTATCAGATCGGCCTAAATTATGGATTGATTCATTTAAAATGTATTTCCAAGTACCGCATAATGAAAATAAAAATCAGTGTGTTGTTCCAACACTTGATCCATAACTTAACACATCGTTTTAAAAGGGGAATCTGTTTGTACATAAGCTAATAATAAAACTAATAATGCTTCTTAAGAGGGATACAGATGATACACATATTAATACAAAATAATGCTGTATATTTTAAAAGGTAATGTAGTGACGCAAAAAAACGAGATAATCAAAAAACGATTACGTTATTTTTTCTTAATATACATTAATTTGAAAGTACGCCCCGGAAGTGATAGTATTTTCTAATCATCATTATTGACGTGAACTTTACTAAGCTGTGTAGTAGTTCCTCACTTTGACCAATAGAGACAGGTAAACATTCGTGATTTAATTATGTTTAGACAAATAGATCTGTCGTGGGTTGTTTATTTTACACTAGAAAAATACAACTAAAATAGTTTTTGTTATATATAAATATTAAGGTTATTGTACGTCATTGGTTAAATATGATAAATAGATGTATTGCAGTTCCTCGGTTTGTCCGCTAGGGGCGCTGAACACGAGTAAATCCACTTTCACATGATCTTCATAACGCTCAGTTAATGTAATTTACGATGGTCTTTAGGGAGTGATTTTAATATTCAACAAAAGCTCCTATAAATAAAATAAAGTAGCCGTAGTTGGACATTTGTTCTGATTTATTTTTGTATTGCTTCTGGAAGATGCTAGCATGCTAAAGGATGTGTATGAACTAATATTTACAGTCTCTGGTATGAACGCCTGTTTTGCAATCTGCATAGAGACACTTTGATATTTTAGTCATATTTAATATTTTATTTAGAAAACTGAGTAAAATATCAAAGCTCTCATTGAAATTTGAGCAGAACTTACCTTTAGTTTTCTTAAAAGCTATTCAGCAAAATCTGCTGAAAATTCTCATGAACACAGCCAGGGACATGAGGAAGAGCTTTGTCACCTGTCATAGATTTTTCAAAATAAAATATTAAAGATGTGCCAAAAAAACTAGTTGAACAGCAGAAACGCTTCTTTTATTCTTAAGTAAATCTTACCTGTAGAAATTAAGTTAAAGCAGAAAAGGCAAATCTGTCCTCCTAGCCCCTATTAGCATCTATTATTGGAAACCATGTATAATAATTAGTATTTTAAATAAAATAATTATCAAATGGGCTATGACTGTTCCTTTTTTTTGGCCTAGAATTCTAGTGCTATATAAATAAAGTTATTATTAGTTGTACTCTCTTCTATTCAGTCCTTTTAACCCATTTCTTCCCTTGTTTTCAGACTTTGTGCCTATAGATCTGGACGAATGGTGGGCGCAGCGTTTCCTTGCCAACATAGACAAGCTTTCCTGACACTCCTCTGGGATATGTGAATCTTGACAGATGGTCAGTAAATGAGACCTGAAGCAGGATGTCTCACAGTGAAGATGAGTCCTTGGCTGGACGTGTGATGGGTCAAAATGGACCTGATGTGATTCAAAACGGACAGACAGCGCTGGGACGCTAACAAAGACACCACAAAGAATCACGTCACTGAAACTCCAAGACCTGTCCATGTCAGAATATTCAGTCTGCGACAGACGGCACACTGGAGGACGTCTTCTACCCTCACAGCAGGGATGTCATGTTACGTTGAAATTCAGTAAAAGTTGTATTTTCAAGAAGCTCTCTACTTTCATCTTTAATCATCATAAGAATGGATTTTTTACTAACATCATTGATAATGCACACAGACAACAGCTCCTTCAATACATTGACATCTCTCCTACAACCCTTTATCCATCCAAAAATATTTCTTTGCTCAAAATGTGTCCCACTTATCAGGTATTACATTTCTTATGAACTTCAAAGGTGAAAAAAACATTAAATAATGAAGGAAGAAGGCACGGAAAAGATAAGGGAACAAAAAGTGGTAAATATTACAATTTCATTTCTTAAAAAACTTAGAAGAAAACTCCAACTGTTACAGTTTTTGTTTCTCAGGGTTTAGAAAATGGTTTGACAATTTTGGACTGACTAACTCTCCAATCCTGCTTTCCAGATTATTTGAATGTAGATATTTCAGGACATAATCAGGCCTAACAATGTTCCTTTGCAATACCTGGTATTTAAAGCAAGATGATCATATCAGAAAAGCCTAAATGTAACACAGGAGTATGAGGTGTAATCATGACTAACCTCTGTAGGGCACACCGCCCCTTCATATATAACAGATTAAAACTCAGCTGAACACCGGATAAAGACATGTAAGGATTTACAGAGGAGCTTTCAGCAGTCAATGTTCACTCTTTTTGAGCTTTTTAAGCCTTTATGTGCTCTCCATACGGCTGGATGAAGGATTCCAGAGGGAGGGGGGGGGGTGTTATTTTATGGTTTCTGATGAACAAAACCATCAGCCAGTCCTTCTCTTCAGAAACTGAAGCTGTTGCAGATGCTCAAGTCCCCAGACAACGTCTGTTCAAGTCCGCCTCAAAGCTCTCAGTGCTTCTCCAGAGCTTTAGCCAGAAGATCGTTGAGGCGAGAAATCATCGGTCGGGGATCATCATTCAGACCCGCTGTGATCATGGCGTTGTCATAGATCTGCAAAATATTCAGAAAAAGAAATCACTGATATGGAAAGAGGAGAACATGAGCACATTCATGATAAAAGAAAAAAAGAAGAAGCGAGTGCTGCACTGAGTCAAATAATGTAGAGGAGTCAGGTTCTCTGATTACAAACAAAGTCTGTGTGTGGAAAGGCGGTCTGATGCATTATAAAAATCCTTTATAAACATATTTAAATGTTGCAAATCAAATGTCTCAGATCTGAAATAGGAAGCACACATATAGCCGACTAATAATAAAGAAACACTGAGATGCATTCACCTTTAGTGAAAATAGCTTTATGTTAAATTTTGCATAATGTGTATGTCCATCAATACTAAAGCAAACTCATGTGAAACTTATGACCCTGCTACTGCAAGTTTGACTGAATCATTTTCCATTCATTTTCTGTCATTACTTTGAAATACATCGTCAAGAACTCAATACTTTCTAAGCAGATATGTTGCTTTTAACACATTAACTTTCTGCCTTAGAAACTCGTGAATTCCTGTTTTTAATTATTGAAACATGTCAGACACAAAGGGGCGGGAAATAATGAGCGAATAAGAAGCCTTTGTTTGGAAGAGAGACATCGTGATGTGATGTCCTAAATCCCGCCACAGATAAAAACCCAATGACACTCAGTTATGGTCAAACCTGTTCTAGCAGCAGTCCAGCGAGTTCAGAGTTTGAGTCCTTCAGCGCGTGCATCTTCTTGATCAGCTCGTGTCTACAAGGCAGAAAAAGTACAACATCCATTTCAGCTGCACATAAAATCATCACGAAGACCAAATCCATCTCCCCGTTTCTCACCCTGCGTTGATCTCCAGAGTGGGCTGCAGTATCTGAGCTCTTTCCTCAGGGGTGCGAGCCAGCTGCTGGGTGCGGAGGAAGTGTCGTGCAGCACCCATCTCCAGCACTGTGATCATAGCCGGGTGGGTGTCCAGCCGAGGAGTCAGCTGCAGAGCAGAGGGTTAACCATTTCTTATGCTGTGTGTCTATAACAAAGGACACTGAAGATGACTTCCAGGCGGGCTCAAATTGAATAAGGACTGTACCTTTAAGTTGGTGACTCGGGGGCCCAAAGCGTTCTTCATCCAGGCCATGAGGTCGTCGGCCTGCTCCTGAGTCAGACGCTCGGAGGCTGCAGAGAAGGAGGAGAGGGAGCAGACAGCGAGTCAGGACTACGCCACGAGAGAGAGCTTAGCTTTGACTGCAGGTGTGAGAGAGGAGCTGACCTGGCTTGATGTCCTCAAACTTCTCCTCCTTGTAGTGATCGACCACGATGTCCGTCTCAGCTGAGATCATCTTCTTCTTGTCGAACTCCCGCAGGTGGAGCAGGGTCAGCTCATCGAACTGCTCGTAACAAAACAGCACCTGAAGGGAGAGGCACAAATCAAATGAGCCGTGCAGGATTCAGAACTAAACAGTCCACTGTATGATGAGTTTTTTTAACTGATTATTAATAGTTATTTTTAATGCCTGAAACTTGCTGTTGTGGGTTAGGTGTCAAATAAAGCTAGAACTGTACGCTCATGAAACAGCCTGTGTTTAAATTTTGATTTATTTTGTCATTAAACACTACGTACACATGTACTGGACAAAATCAGCTAAGACCGCTTTGTCCACAGGGGGGCACCAAAACCTACACAAACTAAACATTCCTCACAGGGGTCCTAATAAGATGAGGTTTTCTATCACTGCTGTTTTGGTTTGGATTAAACAAACTCAAATGTGTTTACTCGTTTAGTAAGGTTAATTTAAGATGCTCATTCAAACCCTACGAAGCATCAGAGGGAATCCCAGCATGCATCAGTCATGTAAGAAGCATTGTGCATCTCAAAATCACTATCACCAGGGGGACAGGGACCATTCATTCTGTAAGTTATTTTTTGGGGCTATTTCTTTTGCCTTTTTTTGGATATGGCAGCTGAAGAGAGACGGGAAATGTTGGGAGGAGGGAGTAAGGGTGACATGCAGAAATGGGGCCGAGGCACGAAGGGCTGCTGTGACAAGCACTATAGACTCTGTACATGGAGCGTGTGACATGACCACTGGGATACAGTGGAGTGATATTATCACCTTTAGTCAAGACCCAAGGAGGATGACTCTTTGCAAGAAATAATCTTGCAACATAAACTTAATTTGGCATCCTTCTTATTTTTAGCTATGTTAAATATTTGATCTATGTTAAACTTCTAAACCTATTCAAAAACTTGATTTAAATGACTCGATGACTCAAGCTTTAATGTTAGGTTATGGGACCTATGAGACTTCACAGCGGTATCATTATGCTCTGGTTTTGAAAAATGCAGAACTGGGTACTTAATAGAACTTGGTTTTGATCCCCATCCTTACTTGTGAATGTGAAAGGAGTTTAGTATCATAATAATGCTTATTAATGTTATAGAGTAATGTTCAGATTGCAGCCAAATGTAGAGCAATTGTGATAGATCTGACATGAACTATTGTAAACTATATCTGCTGTTTCCTTTTCAAATGAGTTTTTGTTTTTAAAGGAATATATCACCTTGCTTACGGTTTTACAACATAAGTTAAACTGAATCTTAACTGCCTCAGATTTCCTCATGAGTCCCTTCTCTCACCTCCATGTCTTTCTGCTTCATGGCCTCATAGTAGGGCGAGTGCTCTGCGAGGTGACGGTTTGGGGCACACAGGTAGTAGATGTTACGTGTGCCAGCCTTCATACGGGACGAGTACTCCATCAGATTAGTCTGCTGTCCCGCTGGCAGAGCAGAAGACTCAAACCTCAACAGCTTTGCGATGTCCTCCTGTACAGACACAGCAGAGGGGAAGCAAACACATTCAAAATGGCTGCTGCTTAAATACGGGCTGCTTTTGTTAAGAAGCAAACGTAATGACACTTTCAAATTGCTTGGACCTTCATAACATTTCTCGATGCAAAAATCACCTTGACATCCTGTTCCTGGGTGGTGACGATGCCCTCCCTCATGAAGAGGCCGTAATCCTCAAAGAACTTGCCGTACTTCTCTGGATCCTTTTTGCTCTGGTCCAACAGGAAGCGGATCACCCTCTGCTGGAGAACGTCACGCAGCTTCCTGAAGATGGAAGAATAAAAAGAAGATTCAGTGGCTCAAGTATTGGAGTACAATCAGAGCGCTGAGAAATGAGTGTAAGCATAACAAGGGGAGAAAGTACTGATAACACCTTCAACACAGAAAACAAACCATCCAGCTGAGTGTAGAACTTGTGTGGTACCTGATGAGGGCGCTCTCCTGCAGCAGCTCTCTGCTCAGATTCAGAGGGATGTCCTCACTGTCCACCACACCTGCGAAAAAACAACCAAAGTGTGAGTCCAGAAGCAAAAACAGTAAGAGCGCGTGGAGGAACGTGTGAAGGTCCAGACCTCGGAGGAAGCGCAGCCACTTCGGCAGAATTTCGGTGGCTTTGGTCTGGATCAGGATCTTCCTGCTGAAAGAGCCACGCTGGATCCCATCTCTCTGCTCACATCAAACATGCTCGGCTTCTGTTGGACAAATGGCATCATTTTTAATGAGACACAACTTGATTTGACTCCCTTCCACTGGAAAAAAAATATACTATCTCAAAGAGGTTGTTATAATGTTAGGGTATGGGTTGTTTTTGTAAAGTCTGGACTGTCAACACTGGGTGTGGCTTTGCATGGAAAGATGCATCATCAAAACAAAAAAACATCCGATCATGAGCTCCTCACCGAATCAGGGACGTAAAAGATGCTTCTGATGTTGAGCGGGGCGTCTGCACGGTAGTGCAGCGTGTAGCGGGGCTTGTCGTAGGACTGGGCGACGTATCGATAGAACTCCTCGTGCTGCCAGTCACTGATCTCCTTTGGCTCCATCATCCACAAGGCCTGAAAAGAGACAGAAATCATACCCAAATCTTTTTAAAGAAAACTCCACATTTACAGTATTAAAAAGTATTTTTAAACTAAGGGACCGAGTGAGACAGAACCAGAGCGGCTCACCTGCAGAGTGTTGAGCCTCCGTCCGTTCAGGAAGATGGGGAAGCTGACAAAGTTGCTGTACTTTGTGACAACCTCTGAAAGAGACACAACGGCATGTAATCATATGCAGCGATGCACTCGTGTACGTTACGGTTAAGCCAACCAAAGCAGCTCCAGGTATACCTTTAACTCTGTCCTCGATGGAAAACTCCTTGCAGTCTTCTTTCAGGTGCAGCACAATCTTTGTTCCCTGTTGAACACCACTGGCCTCAGCGATCTCAAAAAGCCCAGAGCTGAAGAAGACGATGACAGAGAATGTCTGGATATAAAATGTCTGGATATGAAACTTATTTGTTCTGCTGGAAAACTGAACCACAAAGAGGAGATTCCTCATGCCATCCATTTCTCTCTCTCACCCGTCTGAGGACCACTTGTATCCGGGTGCATCCGGCTCAGCTGACCGGGAGTAGACGTCAACACGGTCGGAGACCATAAAGGCAGAGTAGAACCCAACCCCGAACTGGCCAATGATGGTGCTGCTGGCCTCCGCTTGGTTCTGCAAGGCATCCAAAAAATCCTGCAAAGGTAAAAGAGATCATCATTACGACTGACAGGAGATATCTTAATAATCAAGAGTAGAAAAGGTGTGATACATCCGTAGAAATGAACTGATAGAGTGATTGGTTTCGTTTTAAAAGTAGAAAGTCTACAACCTTGGACCCAGAGCGGGCGATAGTCCCCAGGTTGGCCACCAGCTCCTCTTGGTTCATCCCCACTCCGGTGTCCTGTGAAAGTACAGGGAGTTCCAGTCACTCCACAAGTTATCAATGTTGATGTATAATATTCATCCACTAGGTGGCACTCTTTCTCATTTACAGACAAAAAAACAAGCGTCCACCATAAACTACCTGTTTTTTTTTTTCAGTTTCTACTCTTCCTTACAAACTACGACAGTTTGGTTGGACCTAATTTAACAGACAATTGGAGCAGCAAACATGTTTGTGCACTTCATTTTCTGCACTTTGTAGAAGATTGGAAGAAGCCTGTGGAGCGATCAATGGAATTAACGGGAACCAAACCTAAACTAAATTCAAACGCAGTGAAGAAAATAAAGGTTTCAACGGTCTGGATGCAGCATTATTCTACAAACACTTGTTCCACTTTGCTGGCTCACTCTTTTTAAACTGATTCTTGTGAATAAATAACAACACACCCTCTGCTTTAATAAGCAAACTTTTACTTGGTGTGCAGCTTTTTAAATCCTTCTGTTATGATGGTAGAAGGCTCAGTGGTCGATAATTGTCAGCCAATGGAAACCCTTGTGTGGACGTGTTTGTTTTCCAAACAAGCATTCTGCATTATTCTTGTTTTACAAGATGTTCTGAGTATATAAATACTGGTAATGGTAAAAGGTTAATCACTGATGTGTTTGTCACAAATGAAACCTCGTTATCACAGCACTGCAAGGAAGCCCTACAAATATGTGCAGGCAGAGATAAGGCACTAACAATAGCTAAACATGCTGTATCACAAATGACACTAAGTTCCTGCATTTGGAAAAGGCTATGAAGTAAACAAAGTGCTTGTGCTCAAACCTGATAATTGCTACAGACAGCAACATTACTCAGTCAGTGTACCTGAATGGTGAAGGTGCCCTTTGTAGCATCCGTTTGCAGATGGATCTCCATCTGAGCCGTTTCTCCGCCTGCTGTCATCAGTTTGTGGCGCAGTTTTTCCAGAGCATCACTGCCGTTGGAGATCAGCTCCCTGATGAACACCTGGTGGGGTGTGGAGGAACCAGCATGTCAGCCCAAAAGAACATTATAAGTCAATAAAGTCAGATGTCTGTCCATCTCAGCCACGTTTGGCACAAGCCCTCTTACCTCTTTTTCAGAGTACAAAGACCTTGCGACAATGTCCAGTAGTTTTTTGGTCTCAGCCTGAAATTCATGTTTGGAGAAACTACCTGAATTGGATTAAAGATAAATCAAAAAGTCAAATCGTCTATTGGAAAATGGTTCTGTTATAATTATCAGAATGTCTGTAGCTATAACAGCACCTTGGACAGACTCAGTATCACTGATGATGGTATGCAGAGGCTCCTCCTCAGGCTCTTTCTCCACCTCCTGGGTGCTGTAAAAAGACTGCTGGCTGAAGTCGAGGCAGGACCGCTGGGAGCTCCACACTCCGGGCCGACTGCTCCACATCTGCTGCTGTCCGACCTGCAAACCTGACCACAAGAGGAGTCACCTGATGGTTCTACTTCAAATAAGGATTTGTTATTGACATCTGTTGTTGTCTCGAAACATTTGTCCAGCAAACGTCTTCTTAAAATACGACATTTGAAAACAATGTTTTATCAGCAGTCAGTAGTCTTCAGCATGCATATAGGCACTGTGTGTACACAGACAGTCCAGCAGAGGATTTAAAATGTTATGAAACTTGTAAAATTGTTTAAGAAAATATATTTGATGATATTGATAATACTATTAGTAACTGTTAGTTATTATTAGTTACATAATATTTGTTTAGTTACTGCACTTAATTTGGTTCTTGAAATTCTGTATCATGTAATGTACAATTTTGGCTTCCTACAATCACAAAAAAAAAACACACGATAATCGAGAGTAAACGATAACTGTGCTGAATGCCCTGTTGGGATTGTTTTGTCATGTGTGGTAATGTTTGCTAAAAATTCTCAGGACGACAGCCAGGGACATGAGGAACAATAATCCATTGAAAGATTCTTGTCACCTGTCACAGATTTTTCAAAATAAAATAATAAATGACTAAAATATCAAAGTGTCTGATTGCAATTTGAGCAGATTTCATCTTTAATTATCTCAAAAACTATACAGTAAAATCTGCTAAATATTCTCAGGACATGAGGAACAAGAATCCATTGCATTTTCTTGTCACAGATTTTTCAAAATAAAATAATAAATGCCTAACGACCTCACTGAGGAGATAAGCTTCGCAGATTCCCTCAATTCTTTTAAATCTCTTCTTAAAACATACTTTTACAGACTTGCTTTTGATGTGATGTCGTCTTCTTAATGTCTTTTCTTACTGGTTTTACTATTTTTATCTTCTTTTACTTCTTACTGTCCTTTGATTTATGCTCTTATCTTAACTCCTCTTATGTTTTAACTTGGTAATTTCTTATCTTAGTCTATTTATGTTTCATATTTATATTTACTTTTGATTAATATTCTAGTTGTTTTTTTTATCCTTTAACCACTTGTTTCTATTTCTTTTACTGCTCTTATCTTCTTATTGCTGTTATCTTTTGATTTGCTTTTATCTCTTTTAGTTTCTTACATCTTTTTAAATCTTTGCTCCTCTTGGTCTCAGCTCGTGTTGTTGGGTTCTTGTGTTGCCTGGGTTCTTATATATGGTTCTTATATTGGTCGGGTTATATATCTGTTGGGTATCGTGCAATATGGGTTCTTTTCTGTTGAATTGTATTTAATTATTTTTAGTATTTTGCATTTGTTATGTTGTTGTTGTTTATGTTCTTCTGTGTTTGGTTTAGTTTGTTCTTGTTTTAGCTGTTTGTCAAAGCACTTTGTAAACCTGTGTTTTTTAAAGGTGCTATATAAATAAAGTTATTATTATTATTATTATTATTATTATAACATAACAAGACGAAGGAGCTCATCGTGGACTTCAGGAGAGAAAGAGGAAGCACGCACAACCCCATTCACATCAACGGGATGGCTGTTGAACGTGTCTCCAGCTTCAAGTTCCTGGGGACCCACATCACAGAGGACCTCTCCTGGTCCACTAACACCTCCAGTCTGGTTAAGAAGGCTCATCAACGCCTCTTTTTCCTGAGGACACTGAAGAGACACCACCTGTCTTCAGCTGATGAACTTCTACCGCTGTGTGATCGAGAGCATCCTGACCAGCAGTGTCTCAGTCTGGTACGGAAACTGCTCTGTCGCAGACCGTAAGGCGCTACAGCGGGTGGTAAAAACCGCCCAGCGCATCACAAGGTGTCCACTTCCTGCCATTGAGGATGTCCAAAGAAACGCTGTCTGCGGCGAGCTCATGGCATCCTTAAAGACTCCTCCCACCCTGCCCACAGACTGTTTACTCTCCTGCCCTCCGGCAGGCGCTTCAGAAGCCTCCGGACCAGAACCAGCAGACTGAGGAACAGCTTTTTCCCCAGAGCTGTCTCTCTACTGAACTCTACCCTCCGAACTCTGAGCTCTGTCTCTGAGCTCTGTCTCTGTCTCTCTCTCTCTCTCTCTCTCTCTCTCTCTCTCTCCCTCTCTCTCTCCGCCCCCTGCTGACCCCCCTTTCCCCTGCATATCACCTCACACCCATCATCCCCCCACCACTCCTCCTGGTCACACACACACATCTCATCCACCTGTATTATTGTATTATAGTTTGTTCATATCACCTCAATAAGTTATCGACCTGTACAATATGTCCATATTCTTTATATTATCTGTAATCTAGTATAGCATGCTCACTGCACCTTAATCTGTATATTATAATCCTAAGAATACACTTATATTTATAGCATTTATTTATATTTATAGCATCCCATTAATCCAGCCATCCATATATACCTAATAATTCACTTTTTTTAGTCTACATCTGTAAATTTTGTAATTACTGTACATAGCACAGACTCTTGCACTTTCTGCTTATTTGCACTTCTGGTGAGATGCCAAACCTCATTTCGTTACTCTATACTTGTATATGTGTAATGACAATAAAGTTGAATCTCATCTCATCTCATATCGAAGCGTCTTTATAACTATGTTATAGTTGCAATTTGAGCAGATTTCATCTCAAAAACTATACAGTACAATCTGATAAAACATTGTCAGGACAACAGGCAGGGACATGAGGAACAAGGATCCAGTGAAAGTTTCTTAACATTGTGGGTTTTTTTCTTTCTGTCAGCCGTTATTATTGATGGTATCTGAAATATGCGGCCGCATTCATTCTTTTTGGGCGCTCCAGGCACCTGTACCGTAAACCACGCATCATTTTTCAATGGAGGTGGGGGGGGGCTGGCTTGACCGGGGACGGCTCACTTGCTGTCTGCAGTCAAATGTCGTGCAGAGAAAGAAAGATAAACCTCCTGACAGTGTGATCACACACAGGCTCATAAACATGTGAGTGGACTAACACATGAGCTCTTTAAAGTACTGACATCTGGGTTGGTAAGTGAATGTACATGGCTGCTATATTGTTGCTGTCAGGCTGACTCCGCCAGCTCACAGCACAGCTTACCTCCAGTTAGGGGTCGGGAGGTAGTTCTGCTGTTCAGACCTCCAGTCCATGTCGTTATCCGAGAGTTCACCCTCCGAGAGGAACCGAGAGCGAACCGAGCCAGCGCGAGGCACCTTGACATGATGACACCTGAGACACAGACCTGAACAAGACGACGGGACAGGTCGACTGACCGAAGAACACACGCTGTGCGACGCAGGCAGAGTCAGGACCCAAGACTGCGCCGGCTAATGACGTCAGCAGCGCGCCCATCACACTGCCTGATGATGAATAAAGATTATTCTACTCGTTTGAAAGTCATGGTTCAAAAGGTTAAATTGCACGTTATCATTCCGTTTCTAGACACTTAAACTCTGAATGAAAGATGTTCGCACCAATTAATGCGTTGGCTGAATTATTTGCAAGCTGTCTCCTTTAAGAGGCTTGGATAAAGTTCACTTTTTTACATTTTCTCTTCAAGGTCATTTATATAAACCAGATATAAACAGATCTTTAAAAAAAAATCCTTAATGAATAACCATTCATGAAAATATTGCAATTATTTGTTATGGAAAGTAAACAAACAGGAGAATTAATAAAAGAACAAATAAATAAAGAAAGAAAAACAAATATTAGTCACATTGTATTAAAAACCATTCATTCTGATGTGAGCCATGTAACATTCAATGGTGTATTAGTCTGACTGAACGATTTAGTGCTTCAGTATATTAAATACAATTATACATTTAACATTCATTTAAATATAATTAATTAGATATGTAGGTAAATTAGATTTTGATAGCTGATGAGTTTAAACTAATAAAGAAAATAACAGAGCAATTTGATTCTAATTTTGAATTTGATTAATTGTTTTGCTCATTTAAAAAGACAAATGTGAGACATAGGAGGGAACCAGCTTCTTAAATGTAGGAATGTTGAGCCTTTTTGTTCACCTACATTAGTGTTCAGTCATTTGAGGTGTTAGGCCTATTTTTGGCACAATAACAAAAAGATGTGACTTATTCCTTACTAAAAATACAAAATAAATTGTTTTAAAACTATCACCAATTGTAATCTTAATGAGAGTTGTCTCAAAACAGAAGAAATGAGAAGCTAAGTCTGTGGCACACAGGTTTATTTAACAACATTGTATATAAGTACGAAATGAGCCATTTGAACCACTTCTTACAGTTCAGGACTTCATGACAATTTCTGTAGACTGAGGGAGAGACAAAGCAATTATTTTAACATTTGCAAGACAAACACTGGGCCAAAGCCAGTAAAAAGAACATTCCGGCACCTGTGAACATTAACGAGCTTTAATGCAGGTTTTTCTTACACCTGCCATTTGTGTACGGGTGTGTGCAATAGTGCCTAGATCTATACAAATGTGTTAATCTCCCGTAGACTCTGCAAACAGGAAAGAAATTAAGGCTTCCCCAAAGGCAGTCCTTTTGTAAAATGGCATATTAGAATAAATTAGCCAGGGAACAGAGAAACTGAGCAAGAGGTGAAACCTGGCAAAAAAAAAAAAAAAAATCCCAGACAAATAATTTTACAGTCTTCTCAACACAAATATGATATTAATTTGAAAAGGTACAAAATAAAAAATGAATAATAAAATGAAATATTTTTGTTTTGAGAAGTTTTGTTAAAAAAGTCCATACCAGAGCATAACAAATGAAAAACAAATGAAAACAACACATAGACCAAGGCAAATTCTTGCATGGCTGGTCTGAACCAAAAATATATTCTTTGTGTCTTTGTTGTCTTCTTTACAACAGCAATTATTAATTCACTCTGTGTCTTGGAAGAAAAGCAGTCCCTTGGTTTAAGGAAAGTTCACAGTCTGTAGGCCTCATATGACTCAGTTGTTTGAATTTCTTTTAGCTTTTTACATCAGCAAGTATAAAAATGTCTCAGCTGAAAACAGAACAAGGCCTTTCTTCTGTCACAAAATGCTACAATCCTTCAACAAATTTTTCCAGCGTGTCTCCCGTCGTGTCACCCACCATACCCATGTCATTACTCAAACCCCCTCTGTTCGGTGTATTAAGTTGTGGGAGCATGGCACTCTGCTCCGGTGTTCCCATATGTCCTGATCCATGGAGCCTGACATTGGGCCTCCAAGGCTAGGGTGGGGAGAGCTGGAGTGAAGGGTGCCGTGCTGAGGTGAGGGCTGAGGCTGTATACGTGGGGAAGGGCTGGAATGCGGGGGCTGCTGCGAAGGCGGACGAGGGGATTGCACTGGGGCTGGGGAGCGTACTTGGTTACCCAGGGTGTTTGCCATAGTCTGGCCAGGTAAGTGAGGTCCGCCCTGGGCTTGGCCTTGGAGCATATGGGGTTGTGGGCTCATTGAGTTAGCCTGAATGGGAGAACCCATCTGCTGCTTTAACATCTGCTGCTGCTGCTGCTGCTGCTGAAGCATACGTTGCTGGAGAAGGTTTTGAGCCCCATCCATCCCCATGCCAGGTTGTCCCATTTGGGAGTTTGGAGGAAGCTGTCCCATGGGCCCCCCACCTCCTTGCATAGCCATTTGCTGCTGCATACGGAGCTGGGAGTAACTTGCTGGCCCTGGCTGCTGCTGAGGGAACTGACCATGACCCTGAGGCATGCCTCCCTGCTGCTGCGGTGACTGCTGCTGCTGCTGCTGCTGCTGTTGTATCTGCTGCATCCTGAGCAGCTGCTGTCTGTGGTACAGTTGGGGATTGCCATTTTGAGCAGCATTCATCATCTGGCCTTGGGGGCCCATGGTTGCCATGCCCTGGGGTCCTGCCTGTTGAGGAGGCTGCTGCTGCGGTGCCATAACTGGCCTCTGCACCTGGTTTGCCATGGCTGCCATTGCCTGCATTCCTGCCTGGGACCCAAGCATAGCTTGAGGGTTCTGCTGCTGCCCCTGCTGCTGCGGCTGATTGGCCTGGTACTTAGCTGTCCTTTGTTTAATAAAGGCTGCCATGAGTTGTGGGTTTGACTTGAGGATGTTTAGGACCTGCTGCTGCTGCTGGGGGGAGCTGGGTGATTTTAGGGTGCGCAGTAAGTCCTGCAGGGCACTCGGAGCAATGTTAGTAGGTATCCCTCGTGGCATGTTCTGCTGCTGTGGTGTCATGCCTTGCTGTGAGTGCCCCTGGGGAGGCATTTGGAGAGTCTGTTGCTGGGGCATCATTGGCCTCTGCATTATCTGGCCCTGCTGTGGCATGGGAGTTCCCTGAGCCTGCTGAGAGGCCATTGGGCCTTGTTGAGACGGGACCTGTGGCTGATGACCCTGGGGATTCTGCATGGGATTCTGCATTCCTGGACCCCACTGGCCCTGCATCACTTGTGGACCCCTTGGCCCCTGCATCATCTGCATCTGGCCCTGCATGGGCCCCATCATTCTTGGATGGTTCATCTGCATACCATTCATAGCATAATTCTGCTGCTGCTGTTGCTGCTGCTGCTGCTGTTGCCTTGCCTTAGCAACCATCTGGATCTGTCTGGCCACCTTCAGGGCTGCCTGCTGCTGCTGTTGTTGTTGTTGCTGTTGTTGCTGTTGTTGTTGTTGTTGTTGTTGTTGTTGTTGTTGTTGCTGCTGTTGCTGCTGCTGCTGCTGCTGCTGCTGCTGCTGCTGCTGTTGTTGTTGTTGTTGTTGTTGTTGTGGTGGTGGTTGAGGCTGCTGTTGGTGTGGCATGTTAGGCAGAGGTGACTGCTGCTGATGGAGTGGGGATGACTGAGGCCCTGGTTTGCCTTGTGGCACAGGTGTTGGGGGCTGGCTGCTGCGGCCATTGTTGGGGAAGCCTTGGGAAATGTTGACAGGGTTGTTTGGCTGCTGTTGTTGGGGCTGGTTGGGCATGGGCTGGGGAGTCTGGGGTGTGTTAGGCTGCTGCACAGAGTTTGGGGTGTCCGGGGCAGCTGAGGTAGGTGGAGATGGCATGGGCATACCCCTTCCAGCCATGGTAGCCATTCTGCGGCGCATCAATTGAGCTTGCTGTAGCCTGTGCTGCAGCTGCTGTTGGCGTAGTTTGTGCTTGATGTTGAGACAGAAGGGAACAGGACACTTGTTCTCCTGACAGTGCTTGGCATGATAACAACATAAAGCGATTAGCTGCTTGCACACAGGACAGCCACCATTGGTCTTGCGCTTGCAGCCCTTGGTATGCTGAACCACCCTCTTCATCTTCTGGCACGAAGGCAGGGAGCAGTTGGCATTTCGACATTGGCAAGCGTGGACGAGGGACTGGATGCAGCGCTGGATGCTGAGACGTCGGCTCTCTGAGGGCTCTTGGAGGCCTCTCCTCCCTGACCGTTGCTGTCATCATCCAAACCCAAGCCCCACTTCACCATGTGGTGCTCATGGCCCTTAATGTTGTAGCAGTTAATGCATAGGTCGTAGTCCTGGTGAAAATGAAGGAATGCAACATTAAGATTATGTCAAGACTTAAATTTAACCACAAATTGCCAGTTAGAGGGTCTTTAACATTTCCGTCAAGTGCCAGGGTCCTTACCTCGCAGACGGTGCAATGCCAACGGGTCTCTACGTGGTGCTTGCATTCGTTGCACGTGTACACAAAGCGGTCCTGGCCCTGGTTGTGCAGCTCTACAAGCATACACATCGAGCTCCATTTGCACCTTCTCAGTGAGCTAAACTCCCAGTGCTTGTCCCTGGCCAAAGTCAGAAAGGCATCGCGGCCATCCATTAGGTCACAGGTCAACAAAGGGTCGGGGTCCATGATGGGTGGCAGGGTGTTAACGGCTGGCCCCGCTTGGAGGTGGATAACAAAAAACACCTGGGAGTATAAAGGAAGGTATTGTGGTGGTTAGTTGTAAAGAACAAAAGTGTGTTATAACAAATGCTAACTCTAAGTCCAATGCATGAACCGTTTTCGGTTTAGTAAACCCAGCAGCTAGTCTTAAAAATATCAGGAAAATTTATGTTGTGAGAAATTACGTATTTAAAAATAAAGAATGGACTGCACATTAATCTGTTATAGTTGAAAGGTTTCTTACCTCCTTATGCTTTTCCATCGAGGCGTAGAGCTTCTGGGACAGATCATTGGCTACATTCGGCATCCCAGGCTTTTTCTTATTGGCTCGGCTGACACTGCTTTTGTTTTTGTTAGTTTTCTTGTTGTTCTTCTTTTTGGCATTCTTACTGTCAGCTTGGGCTCCCTTTAAAAAAGATAAACAGATACGCATGAATGTTAAGGGCTGCAGAGATTGCACAACAGGCAAGATAAGGATAAGCAATTCAGCTGTGTAGTAAAACAATGCCGGAGTAACTGCAAAGTACTTTTATACAATAAGGACTTGAGGATAATAAATCTGGGGTTAAACAGAGGCCTAAGCACCAGGCTGTTGATTTTGGCATAACAAAAGCATTCCCCTTCAGAAAAAAATAAAAATCATAATGCTTATTCCCACCCAGCCATCTCACATACCTCTGTCGTCTCTGTAGAGGCCGTGTTCTCCTCCTTCTTTCTCTCCTCCTCCTCATGCTCCAGCTCTTTGATGCTCTCCTCCAGTACATTAGGCCAAAAGTCACCCTCAAAGTACGGCAGCTCATAGGCGCTTGTCAGCCTGTCGTCTGTTGCCTGCTTGAAAATGTCCTAAACACAAGATTCACAAAGTTTCCATCATGCAAGATAGTTGTGTATCTCTTAATAAGAATGTCTCAAAGTTTCATTTAGGAAAGTTCAAGACTTTTTAAAGCTTTTTAATCTTCTTAAAGATTTCTATGCCTTTAAAGACATGCAGAAAACGGTCTAGGCGGCCGGGATGCTGTGCCAGGGAATCCTGCAGAGACTTTACCACTTGTTCATCTGGTCACCCTAAGTTGGTTTGTTTTCACAATTCCAAAATCATGGAGATGAACCCGATTAGATCCATTACATATATCGGGCCAATCGTGCTTAAGCATGGTACGGGACAACTTTGCCTAGTGTGAGTGCGCTCCTTAGACACGCACACACACAGCCCTGTTTTGCCTTGGAGGCGCCATAGTTACACATAGCCATTCTTCCACCCGTCATGTCTCTGTTACCACCATCGATGGCAGTTCAGGGGCGTAATGACTTTCCACAACTGTGCGTTACACATTCCATGCGAGGCAAAACAGTGGCGCAAGTATCTATTTAATTATGATTTAATGAGGTGTTTGTATTTTTATGCCTTTCTAACATCTCACCGAGTGAGGCCACAAGGACACAATGTGACAATTGTCTTACCTTGTAGTCATGCAGGATCCTCTCAGCAAAAGCCTTGTCCAGCATTTTTCTATACCACTCTTGGAGCCTCTTGGGCTTTGGGATCTTCTGGTCAGCAGGATGGCAGTGGAAAATGTAGTCATCTCCTTCACTGGGTGGGCAGGCCCAGATGTGACCTGTCACATACCTGAGGGCCAAGGGCGACAAGTTATTACCAATCGAGCACTTGCAGGACTCAGCTGGAAGGTTGTAGAACACTTCTCAGTGCAACATCGTTTTCAACTCACCCAAGTTTCTTCACGTACTCCAGGTAGCCTATTAAGATCTCATGGTACACTGCAGTCCTTAGCAAACGTGGTTTGAAGAAGTGAATACTGTCGAGGTATGATATGTAAACCCGTCTGTAAAAGAAATATTGAGTATTTAATAAAAAGGCCAACATATTAAAACAAAGATCATCTCTGCAGACATTCTTGTTTTAATTTTTACCTTGTATTTGGAAAAGGGCACTCTGAGCCGTATTCCTGGACGTGCATGCCGAAGAAACAAACATCCACACCGTCTATTTCCTCAAATGCAAAAAGTGCTTTGGTTCTGTAAGGGAAGCCATCCACCATCTCGCCTGAGTCCACGAACCTGTTGAGACAGACATGCAAAGGTTACATTACCAGCGGTAGATTTAAAAAATGTAATTTGAATAACTCTCAACTCTTTTGTAAAGCACTGGAGAAGGGTTGATGACCATGGATAACTATGCTGTAATTGTATTGCTTGCTTTTTTTGTTGCAAAGGCCGAGCAACAAAGCTACAAAGTACACGTATGCAATTGTATGCATCCCTTCACTGTCTGTCACCTTAATCATAAGTTGAGGTTTTCAAGACTCTAAATTAATATAAAACACACATTTAGTTATTTAATCAGCACATTTTCTCAAAAAGCATTCAAATAAGCCCGAAAGTGTTTTCTAGTTTCTTTCCTTTTGGGCTTGGAGGAAAAAAGAAAATGGACAAAAAAACAGCCAACCCCCCTTTTTTTGAGCAAATCAGAAAAGGGACAATTTATCAGCAGGTAAGAGCCTTACCTAGACTTCATGCCAGGCTTTATCTCCACATTCTTGTCAGAGCTGGCCACCACTCGCACAAACACCTCGCCGGCCTCTGGGTGGTTCTGCCTTTTCAAGTACTTGTTTACTCTGTCCTCAATATATGACCCCAACCTTGTAGTCTGCAACCCTGTACAAACAAATAACACACATTTAATACTGACACATCTTTAAAACAGACTTAACATTTTGAAAAAGGATCCTTTATTCAAAGCGATTTCTTGTTTTAATATTAGGTATATCTTACTTTTGGCAGCAAACTTGTTCTCCTTTCTGGTTTTGCCAGACTTCTTCAAACAGCTATCACAGATAAAGCTAGAAGAAAAAGATCAAACTATGATTTAGTGTCGTTCATATTTCTATTGAATTAACACTACTAAGGTCAAACATGGACTGCATATGCCTAAAAGGTTGGAAAGAAGTAGTGAGACTTACCCTGTTGGCCAAATGACGTCATAGTGCAGCACACAGATCTGATGCATCTTTCGTCCACAGTCTTTACATTCAACAAACCTGTAAAAGCAAGAATTAGCTTTTTTTAAACTTGACAAAAGTACTAAATAAGCATCAGTGTATAACATAAATGAGAGTCAAACTGAATCTAACATCAACGCAGTACTCACGGCTCAGGGTCCAACATGTCATTTTTCTTCTTTTCAAACTGCTCTTTTGATATCATACTGCACAAAAATGAGAGATAAAAAAAGACAATCTAGTTCATGTTGGCTCCTGTGATTAAAACCCCCCTTCCAAAGAATAAAGACCAACGAGAAGACAGCCTAAAAATCTCTAAAGACGATCACCAGGTGGGATTCACCCACCTGGACCCTGTAACTTACGTCTGTGGCTGGGCAGGGTCGTCCCCCAGAGTCACACTGTTGCCCTGGATCTCGTTGAAGCACTTTTCACAGAAGTGATACCTGTCGGCAACAAGGCCATATTTGGGTGAACTGCAGCCAGCACACACAGTAGCAGCACAGGCAAACCGGCATACAGGCGGCAGAATGCAGAGTAAATGGAAAACAAGGGCATGGAGAGTGGACAGACAAAAGGACATGTACACATACACACACACAAACAAACACACACAGGCAGAGGCACATGTTAGTCACAAGTGAAATGGTCATGATCCAGCCACTCTCATTCAAACTGGAATAGAGATAAGAGGAAAATGTTTAAATGATGTGTTAATGATGGTCAAATTAAAATGTCAACATCAGATGAATTTTCACACTGAAACTTCACTTTATAACTGCATGCTGATGAGGGAATTAAATGGTAATGTCAGAGGAGACAGGATGAGTAAAATGCAAATAAAAAGTGCAGATCTTTTAGGGAAATTGTTGCCTGTATTTATGTGTTTGGATGAACATTTGGTCAAATGATTAAACCTGGTTTAAAACTTCTCACACCTCGGAGCACCTGCATATTGCGAGTATATGCAATATCTAGATGGTGTTGCATTAGAATGATACTGAAGTGTAGTAGCAAAATCTGCACAGCAGGGGGAGCTTTGGTGCTAGTTCTTGGGATCGACAGACATTTGAGGGCAACACAGGGCTCAATCATTCACACTTTGCTCGGCCAACACGGTGATTTCACACATGCACAAAACTCCTGAAAATTTCACAAAATTTTCGGGTTGAGCTACATATATGGTAACAAATGGCCTGATTTTTCAACCGGCTTTATCCAGACTTTTTCCTGCCAGTTCCCTTGCTAAATTTCCACTTGAATCAAGGTGAGCCAATGTGTGAACGCAGCATGAACTATTTATGAAAATTCACTGCAAGCGGGCGAGCGGGGGTTATGACGTTTATATCACGCGACCACCGGCAACAGGTGTTATTGTGGTCCACGTATTAAAGTGTTTTCATACTCTTTTCCGCTTACCAGTATGTTCTTTTCCAGTCCTTTGTTGATACTGTGAATACGTCCAATAACATGTTTGTAGCATTGATATTAATGCAAAAGCTGTCATAGTAGTGTCGGACCCTGTCGCTTCGTCCATCTTGGATTAGTGCAGCAACTTTTTTTTTCATGTTATGTCATTCCTATTGCCCCCTCCCCTCTCCTGTCTGACAGGGAACATTCATAATGTGAGGGACATATGTGAATAAAAGATTTCAGGGGCAGGCTGTCTAGAAAACAACTCTAGAAATTTTCAGGAGTGTGTGTCTGAAAACATCTGTCAGGAACTCTTAGTGGTGTCTTTGAGAGCCCTTCAACAACAAGATCTTGGGAATAAGGTCCTTTCAGGCTTGTTTACCAGTGTGGCAGTATGTGAAATGGTATTTATGCTTTTACTTTATCCTGAAGGATTCAATTGCGCACCTTGTCTTGACAACAACTTTTCCCCTTTTTACCTGTTTCTACCCCTCAGCAGTTTCAGCATGAACGTTTACCTGTTCTGATAGCTGTAGTAAGTGCCGTCCCTGGAGATGGTACACAACTGTTTGCCATAGCAACACAGCGTTTGGGGTGAAAACTCGTACTGTGGAAACATCAGAGACATTGTATCAATTCCTGTTGTTTTATGAGACACTTTGGACTTAATTGATGGAAGATGTGAACTGACAAGATAAATACAATAGAAAAGATACATTTTCATCCTTTAAAGTCTCACCTTCCGGCCGCAGCAGTAGCCCAGGCCCTGCATGACAGGATCGATATCTGCTTCAAACACTTCAGCCAGTTTGGTGCAGTACTTGTAGACGCGAGATGTTTTGCGGTTGTACAACCAAGCATTGTTGAACATGAGCCACACATCTTCCACATACTGCCACGGTTCCTGGTACTGCCCCGTATCAAGCTTACGCTTGATGGTCGATAGGTCAATGGGAGTTTTCACAATTTCAAAGTAGTCCTGTATAGTATCAAGGTGATATGAAGGAGTAAGCAGATTGAGTTTTACAGACTCATCAGCACTTTTTAATTTCTGAAATAAGGTTGTAAGATACTCACAGGAATACCCAGGAGCATGGGGTCTACAGGTTGTCTGAAGGGCAGTGACTCTGGGCCTTGCCTGTAGAGGGCCTCGAGTGTCGGCATCAGTGCTTGTCTTAGCTCTTCTGGCTTGAAAACTTTACAAAAATGTTTTTTTGTTATTCCAAAAAAAGGAAACATGTCCACAAAATATTAAGATTCAATACTAATGACACTGTATAAATAGCCCTGTGACACTTTTCTTGATTTTTTTTTTAATTACTTCACATATATTTATACTATTATGTACTTTTTTTGCACAGTTAGTACATGCAAGTAAGATCTGTTCTTACTTTTTTTGCGGTTTTGAGTGGTAGATGAGGAGCCGTTTGCTCCACCTTCCTCCTCTTCTTTGGGTTCCGTCTTCATCTCCGTCTTCATCTCCGGCTTCTTCTCCTCAGTTTCCATTGGTTCCTGCTTTGGCTCTGCTTCGTCTGGCTCTTCCTTCTTCACCAGTGGGGGTTTGGTATCATCATCCTGCTGCATGAACACAACCATGATTAACATGCTGTTCTAAGGTGCTGTAAAAGGAAACTATCAAGTATTTACTGCATTCAGAGTTAAGCATAGCAGAGGGTGATGCCCTGAATGAATTCACATTAGCGCCATGAGATGTAATAAAAAGTAGTTGGTTCTGGTGGACAGGGTTTGCAAAGTAACAATGTCATGTGCAGTCATTGACATACCTCCATTTTTAAATCTGTCTGTTTCTTTCCGGAGTTGCTGTCCTCTTCTTCATCTTTTACTTCAGGTTTGGCTGGGGTGCTGCTCATGTCTGGCAGGGACTGCTGGGAGCTCTGCTCAGCCACCGAGCCTGGGGTTGGCACTCTGTTATCTATACTTGCTGCAGCCTGGGACAACTTAAATGAGAGGAGGAAGAGACATTCTGATCACAATGCTGATCATTTTAATACAAGTTACGCTGGCTTGAAGAACATCATGGTTTGACTTTCAATGGTCCTCTTGCTTGGTCATTAAAAAGCTTAACAGGAGCTGGCAAAGCTGTAGCAGAGAGCTATAGGATACTTCAGTAGAAAGTTGTATCTCACCGGTGTGCTGGGATGCTGTGCCTGCACTGAGGTGGGCTGCTGCATCTGGCTTGGGGGATCTGGTTGGGGCTGCATGGGTGTGAGCGGCTGGGAGGGGTCAGGGGTTGCGCCCCTGGCTGAAGGGGGGCCAGGGAGGCTATTGGTTATGTGGGTAGGGGTGGATGAAGGCCCACCCGTAGAGGCAGGGGTGGAGGGCCGTGGTGGCACCTGGGCCTGTGCTGATGCATGGTGTTGCAGCTGCTGCTGCTGCTGCTGCTGCTGCAGCTGTTGCTGCTGCTGCTGCTGCTGCTGCTGCTGCTGCTGCTGCAAGCTGGCAGAGGAATTGGGTGGGGGGGTCGGGCCAAGGGGGGATTGGGATGCAGGGCCACAGGGCAACTGAGAACCAAGTGATCCCAGTGCATTCAGTGGGAGGTTAGAGTTCTGCTGCTGCTGGAACAAAGAGGGATGAACGGTTAAGCATACCAATACACAGTAGGCACACAACATCAAACAGGGTGACATTTATTCAGACACAAAGATGTACGAAGCACTAGGATCATACAAAATGTAAGCCAGTCAGTCCAGCACAAGTCTTCTTACCTGAGCGACAGCAGCCTGTGTTATGGGCTGACCCATGCCTACATTCACATTCATTGCTCCACCTGCAGCTGTAGAAAACTGGCCCTGTTGCAAGAACTGGCCCTGGTTGCCTGGCTGAGCAACCATGCTGTTAGCATGACTACCCATCATTCCTTGAGCCGGAGGCATCCTAGAAGGGGACATGCCCATCTGTAAAAGACAGGACAGATGAATCAAAATCATTAAGACAGCAGGCCCCTAGTATTCAGACTCAGAGTCTATTCAATGTCTATTCAAGAGTATTCAATGTCTGCCAAGAAAACTACAATGAATTAAACACAGCACACAGACAATTTAGAAAATATAACAGCTGCTAAAAAGCCTGTGTTGTTAATTAAGAAAATTTTAACTGCTGAATCAAACCATGGCATGCAAGAGAATGAAAGCCAGGGAGGAACATTAAAGTGCTGTACACAAACTATAGACCCTGTCATGGTGTCATAACAGATTACTGATAGATGGATCAAAACTTATGTCAACCCAATGCAGCAATTTATCTATTATGCTTTAATGTCAAATGGTAAGGGACTAAGAAATTAACAATCAGCCAAAGACTAAGGGGCATTGCAAGTTGGGAGGTAAAACTAAAGAAGGGTTCATGAATGACAGAATGACAGGAATGAAAGAATTGCCAATAACTGAATAATTTGTGATAAAAAAAAAAACAGGTGACAAAAGTGGATACCACACCTAGTTCCTACACCAGGTTTAACAGAGGCGAGTGAAAGGCCCAGAGGCATGGCTGTTAAAAGAGGACGGAGAGAGAGTATACACAGACAAGAGGAAAAAGGATCTAACCGATGGGACGGAGCTCATGTTCATCTGCTGTGGATGGTTCATGGGGGAGGGAGCACGTGCTCCCATGGGTGCCTGAGACATCTGCGCATTCTGCATTGCCATTGGGTTAAACTGATTGATTCCTGTGGGAAATGATACACACAAACACAATTATAAACCTGTTTAATATACTTGGGAGCAGTAATTGAATATTCCATGTCCTAATGGGCTTGCCGAGGCCCTGAGCCAGCTTCACAGCTCTACATTCAAGCGGCAGTACAATCAGGTGTGCACAGGAAACTTGAACTACCCTCTATGTTGAAATGTATAACAGGTGTATGTATAACATTTAAAATGTAATGTAAAGAAATTAGCATAAGAGGAAATATTGGATGTTTTTCTCTAGAAAACGACTGCTAAGAGAGGCTATTATTTCTGCAGTTTCATGTGAAAGTGCTTTATTCATAAAATGTAACATCTTTATTACTACCATTATCATTCTTGTAATTATTGTCGTCATTAATATAAGAGTTACCACATACCTTGGGGCACCTGCATACGGTTCATTATTTGATTTGGCATGTTAGGCATAGGCACAGGTCCATCTGAATAAGTAAGAAAAGACCAATGTTTAAAACTCTGTGGGTCTTTACCTAATTGTTATTTTGTTGCAAAAAGTGAATCAAGAGTATGACTACTTACTTGGAGGTCGGACGGCCTGTCCTGGGCCCATAGCGTTGGGCTGAGCCATACCAGGCTGCTGAGGCCCGGCTGTGCCCACCATGCCAGGCTGTTTCTGGAGCCGTGATCGCCTCTTTTCTTCCAGTTCTTTCTGGATTTTGTAGATTTTCTCAGCCAGGAAGTGATAATACTCATCCTATAAGAGGATGGCAAGTACCAACAGAAGACAAGATTTAAAAAAATGGTCTCTGGTTAATATTATCTGCCATCATCTTGTGCAGAGAACATTCTTCAGGATTTAAGAAGATGGTGATTCCTGAGTTCATAATTGTGTTATAATAAAAACAGAAATGTTTGCACATTACTCACCCTGCTGTTAGCTGATTCGTACATGTCACCCTCTACTTTGCGTGCATATGCCACCAGGTTCTCCATTCGCCTGTCCTTCAGTGCTGCGGGGTCTGGGGTAGGGAATATGGCTTGTACACTGAAGACAGACCACAGGGAAATAAATAAATACACAACTCAGCAAATAACTGGTAGACGAAGTTTTGTTTTGTTTTGATATTCCAAAAAGGGTAATTCATAGTTATTCTTTTCAATGTTGGACTCACAGTTTGTGCACCAGGTGGGTGCGAAGGTCCTGAGTGACGTGTTCATGCCAGGCCTTTCTTACTCCTGAAGCAGAGAGAGGGGTAGCAGCGGGCAGGTTTCCCATGCCTCCCGCTACAGACCCATCCGGCATCAGCTGACTATAAGATCGAGAGACAAAAGAAACTATAATGCAAGTTCAAAATATGTATTGATAATTTCTGAAATAAAAAAAAAAAAAACAATGTGAAGGGAGTTCATCTTTTATATTGAATAAAAACAACGCATTATTCAAGCAAGGCATAAAAAAAACAACGTGCTTTAAGAGCAGTGGCATCAACTTTTCTGAAATGTTAAGCAGGAGAATGCTCACTTGTTCAGTGTAGATGGTAGAGAGGAGTCAGAGTGCATGCCAGACGGGTCTGAAGAGGGGACACCCATGCCTCCTGCCATCTGGTTCATCTGATTAGTGCCTGTTAAAACCCACATTGTCATTTACAAGGGTTTATAAGAAAATGGCTTAGCAACAGATTGATGGTGTTCCCAACACGTGTACATAATCCTCTAAAGTGAAGTCCCATCTATTCCTTACCTAGTGGGTTTAAATTCCGTAGCTGCTGGTGCCCCTGGGGGTTTTGCTGTCCAGGACCCTGACCCTGGACCTGAGCAGGGGACTGGTTCCCATACGGCAGGCCAAGGGCAGCATAAGCCCTCTGCATGGAGCTGGGGTCGATGTTTGTGGCAGCACTGTTGATGGCTGTGGAACTGGGTTGGCCTGGACCCACTGAACTGATGGCGTTCTGCATGCTAGCCCCAGGGGAACTCAGCATGGCTAGACAGAGAAGATGATAAAGAAACAAACAGTTTGGCATTATAAAGCATGTAATTAATACCCTTTAATAGTCGAAAGTGCTGGCTGTCATGTCTTTGAATCCTTTAAAGAAATATGAAGAAGACACGTATAAAAGAGGACCGATGGCTATATAATGAATTATTTCTTTAATGATCTTCTTTAAAGTGACGTAAAATAAAAAGCACAATATTCAACTTGGCAACAGGAGGTAAGGCTTCAGTCATTCATATCATTTGACATTCTTTTCATAGGTAGATGATGTGATTCAAAACAAAAAATGTGATATTCCTTTTTTTCCCTACACTTTAACACTTATGAAATAATGTGGTCTATAGGCTAACACAACATTTTAGCCATAACAGAGATTTGAGGGACACAATGCATTTAAGGACACTGAAAGTAACGACAGTTTAAAAAAAATTCTATTAGTGAATATGATTAATTTTTTTACATGAAATATCAGTAAATGATAAAACTGTGTTTTTTCATGTAAAGAAAAAATAATCCAATCTCTATGCAAAAAAGAACATCTTCCTGAGGAGGCCTTCATCTCAAATCTCTGCACTACTCCCTGCTGTGTTGATTGCTGACAGAGAGCATGCTGCCTCTGTGGGGGATTTAAATACGTCACATGCCCTTTTAACCAATCAGAGAGCTTTCTGTCCCTAGACCCTGCCCCCACTAATAGCAGCGACATGGAGCTCCTCCCCTGGGTGTCACATTACAGGCCCAGCCTTTCTGGAGGAATCCATTCAATGTGGGAGCACTTGCAGTCGGCGAGCCAGCACAGAGCTGTGGCGGGGAGACATGACCTGCAGGTGGCACTACTTCATACCACACGCACCGACTCCAGGCTGCTGTTGAGGGACAGCTGCTCTGCCAAAAAGCTTACGAGGTATACAATATTTCTATCCCTTAAAATGATCAAAACCATAAAGGTATTTTACAACCATCATTAATTACTTCTTAATGTGCATTTTCTATATGGTTTTGTAAATATTTAAGAGAAGACGGACTTGCTGGAGTAAGACCACAGTTACTCACGTTGCTGGTTCCTCTTGTCACTTGCATTCTTCAAAGGCAGGCAGACTGGACAGTCGTGCCGCGTACAGTTCTTCCAATGGGAGATGATCTGTCTGGAGGATGCACAGTGAGCCACTGAAGAGAAATAAAAACAAAAAAAGTGAGGATTGGTAAGTAATTAAGTAGTGCCAAGCATTTAAAAATGTTTTAGAAACTGCAAGACTGAAATGAGTAGAAAAGAGTAAAAAATGATTGATTGAACTGCTCCAGTACAATGTGCAAATAGCCATGTAAAAAGCAATTATACATGTTGTAAAACCATAAAGGCATCCTAGCATTTACTTAAAGCATATAAACAGTATAAATATTACGGCTCAAAGTTCATCAACCTCAGGTGACCTTACTACCAACAGCTGGTAGAGGGAAGCTGCTTGCGGCCAGGTATTATAAGCAAAAGGATCACAACCAACAAAAACATCAAATTTATGAGAGAAGGAAGTCATGTCACAGGGGCATTTTCAGGAAGAGTGGCTATATTATAGCAATAAACACCAGAACCAAGCTTAACATTGTGCAAAAACAATGCTACATCATTGACTAATTCAGGATTATACCGTTTCTATTAACATGGTCAAGAAGGCTTATATTGTATCAATGCTGTCTGATCACAGTAAGTCCTGTCGTATTTGTGCATGGGGATCAACAAATAAGAAATAATGTAATAACAGAGTGTTTCTTTGGAATGAGCTGGACATACAAAAGTCTTCACCACCATTTACCTGTAGTCTCTGTGGTATGTCAAGCTGATGACACTTTAACCACATTACAGGCTTTGGTTATGGTTGCTCACAGCACAGGCTATGCAGCTTACACTGTTACTGTATTTATTAGATTCTATCATTGAGTAGTGGACAAAATATGACAGTCTGTTTGCACACTATTTAACACCTTGTGGTCATAGGTAGGCATGCTTCAACAGGAGTGAGTCAGAAGTTCATTTTTTTTTTTTAAATTTCAGCTAGTTTTATAATACGGAGCTCAAAACGTTCACTCACCCTGGCAGGACTTGCCAGCCTGGCAGTGGGTCATGTGGTTGAGGACGTTCTTCATGGTGCGGCAGTGGGGCAGAGTGCAGGCCCTCACCTCCCCATTGGCCTGTTCCCGCCGCTGGCACTTGTGTGCATGGAGCAACAGGACCAGCTGCTGCTGAATGAGTTTACGCTTCTCAGGATCGGCTGTTGGGCCCGCTGACACACCACCAGCCCCAGAGACCATGCCCACCGAGGCTACCTGCTGCTGCATCTGGGACTGCAAAAGAGTTCAAACACAGACAGGTTAGAGACCGATCACAATGCCAGACTTCCCTGATTTCAAACTTGAAGTCTAACTTACGTTTCAGAGTAATTAAAATGTCCGACTTTGCTTATCTTAAGACCTGCTGCCGTTTGGGGCATATCAAGAAGTTTATGATTGCTGCGGGCTGTATTCATCAAGTTCACAAGACTCCATAAGCAGACTTTCTGCAGACCTCCAGAGTATGCTTAGAGGGTACACTTCATTACAATTCATTGATTTAATAAGAATTCACTGATTTAATTAGCAAACAACTTCTAGCAAAATGGAAGTGGCCGTCTAGATTTCTTGTTAGCAGCCACAAATATAAATTTTTAATTTAAGTAAAACCATTTCATTCTTAAAATGTTGCTTGAATCTTGCAGCCAGCACAACATCACACACTTGAGGTGATAATGATGATTGAGTCAGAGTGCATAGCTCTGAAGTCCAGTAGGGCTCACAATAAAGAACAAGGGGTGGATATTCAGATTTGACCAATATATCAGAAAATATCTTAATATTTAGAAGGAGCTTCGAGATGTGGGAAAGGAAAGGGAGAAATGAAAATGAAGAAGACGGGTCAGCAGAGAAGAAGGCAAGGGAAGTGGTTTAGAAAAAACTCAAGAAAGAGGGAATGAATCAACGTCAAATAAAAGGCAACTTGTAATCCAAGAAAAACTAATGGAAAGCACTATTAGAAATCCAGGGTCAGACATTTGATGCCTTGTTAAAGCCATTTCCTATTCCTCGTGTAGATTTGCATTTTACTGAGCTCTGTTTACTTTGTTCCTTGAAAAAAATCTAACAGTGGCCTTGAACAGTTAGAGTAAATACACAACAATATCAGAGACGAGCCTCGAGAAAAGGTGTTGCATGTAATACAATTTTCATATTAACTTTTGATTTGCAAAGCATGGAAGCAAAGTACGGTACATACTATATACAGTGCTTGCAGAAATTTCTTATCAGACAAGCAAAGTGTGTGGGCTGCATGAAGTGTAGGATTATCTGGAGGGAGAGATAGGAAGGTATACTAACTTATTTATACAAGAATGTATAAGCATACAATTAGTTAACCTGTCACAATACCAGGGCTGACAGCCTTCAGTCGGTTGGTCGATTGATTGGTTGAGCTCTTGGCTGACCAAAATCTCATTGGTCAGACAATTGAACACGTTTCTTAAGAAGATAAGCTTAATCCATTAGACCACTATGCAGGGGTAGGAGGGAGGTCGGATGTATTTGATTTTCGAGTGATATTGTGTTATAAAACAACATTGATTATAAATAAAACTATATAAATAAATCGTACTTATATCTCTCTGATTTATGAATCATGTGGTTTAATAGACACAAAGGCAAAACAGCAGCCAGCGAGGCGCGTTGCTCCGCCCCCAATTGTAAAAAATAAATAAAAAATACCTCTACCTCACTGTGTTTGCTCATAAAATTAACACATATAGCATAATACGCTATGAAGCTGCTCACAACCTTGATGATTCAATGTTTCCCACACACACATGATACTTGGGCGGTCTGCCCAGGTATACTAACAGCTGCCCAGGTATTTTTCCCGACCTTTTTTATCCATGAGAGGGAGAGAGAGAGATAGTACTTTCCTGATTGATGTGCAACTATAAGCTTCTTGATGTCTTTGTTTAATATTTTTTCTGCAGCTGCAGGTCATGAGCGCACAGAATTTTAAACTGCCTGAGCCCTGGGCGGTTCCATGCAACATAACAAAACTCGAGTTTTGAAAAAATGTCCTCTCTACTCCTGCAGAGGGATAAGATGCAGCAAAACCAAGAGAGCAGAATCACATCAGCAGAGAGAGAGAGAGAGAGAGGGTCCACTGTTCATATACCCCTCTTGTAAATGCACCGGTTGAGGTGCCTTGCTCCTCTCCAAATTGAAGCATCGCATAGCTTCGTTTTAATAATGTTAATGTACAGCTGCTAGCTGCTGATGCTGTGCTGAACTCCAATAAATAACAGAACGTCCAGTGAAACTTTTCAAAACACGAGGCCTAGTCATCGTGTTTGTTTCTGTGCGCGTGCATGGATAAGATGAGCAGATTCAAGTTGTTTGTTGAAAAACACATTTGATATAAATACAAACCTAAAAGTAAATACAAGAGTGAAAAAAAACTTTAAAAAAAGATGTCCATCACCTGCTCAACAACAGCATTGTGTACTGTTACTCTGACCTCACAGCAGGCAGTGTATGGACACATTAGACTTCTCTTCAAACGTTAAGGAAGGACAAAGTGTTAGGCTCAAGTGTGGGCAGAATCCCTTACTTCCAGAAGCTACATGAGCATAAAGTCAAATTAAATTAAACTATCACTTCATTTACCAAGAGCTGCTGGTAGTCTAACTGCTTGTGTGATATGTTTCTTTCCTTATGTGCAGTGGTGATGGTTAAGAATGAAGGAAAGGCCTTTAAAATGACATGACCCATTGCTGCACAGTGTGAAAAGAAAAAAAGAAAAGATTTAACACTAAACATTTGTAATATGTCTCTTTTTTTTAAGTTTTTGATCGACACCCACCATGTTTGGCACACTCCCAGCTCCCTTCAGGTCAGCAGGGAATTGGGGCAGGTTGTTGGAAAGGGCTGTCTTGTTCTGAAGTTGTTGAGCGTTGACCCCCGCTGCCCCCATCTGCTGAACCCCAGCCTGGCCGTACTGCTGGCCAAATGGAGCTCCTGACATCCCCATCTACAGTGGACGATCGGGGCAGAGGGTGGCAAGACAATTAGCATGTAATAATGCATACCAGCAAAGCAGGGTGACCTGTATCCTCTGCAGTGTTTTTAAACACATTTATGTTTATTTAACTTTCATTTTACCAGGAAAGAAAACTCATTGAGATTTAAAATCTATTTTCAAAGAGTGTCCTGGCCAAGACAGGCAGCAGCACAATTAACAGAGTTTCACACAAACAACGAGCAGCCAAACATACTAATACAAAAATTCATCAATAGACACAAATAACAAATCTGAACAGCACATGTTTGTCAAAATCATTCACAAACACATAAGGGAAAACATCTACAGCCAGATGTGTCTGCCTCCAAGTCATTTAACATCCTCTTAAAGCCCTGAGACCCCAAGGAGACCGTTGGCCATCGGTCCTAGTTGGACAGTGAGAGGTTGTCACCCCTTGAGACCCGTCTCCCTTTTTTTGGCTTCGACATGTTGAATCGGCATTGGCGGTCGGTGAGAGGAATCTCTCTGATTGGCTGTTCATTTTATCTCGAGCTCTCGACACAGGTTCTGGAAAGCCCCTTGAGCATGCCTCTGTAGTATCCATGCTTTCAAAAATTAGCACAGTTTCACCTTAATTGGCGCCTCTTCTTTTCTTTTTCCACTTAAAGACCAAGGGTTGACAATGCCAGCGACATTTTCAACTTCTGATCAGACATTATTCTCGGAACAGAACAACTTTTACAATTCACGCACATTAAGGTGGAAATCAGTACGAGGTGAGGCAGAGAAAAAAATCAGACATGTCACACAACACTATGCTCAAATGCTTCTGTCAAAGTTCACACTTAAGCAAAATAAAACTCAAAAAGATTTTTTTTTTTAAATAATGAACATCCACTGAACCGATATGGTTACTATAAGTACAAAAAGCTGTCTAGTCCAAACAAAAATAAGAAAGTTTATAGTTAGCCTACTTCTTTGGTCCTCAAAAGTTGTGATTCCCTGTCTTTCTGATGGCCCTCAGCATGTATTTGTCTTCTTCCTTTGCTTGCCTTTCACTACAGTCTGCTTTGCTGCAGAGGTTCCCCACTGCAAACAGCGCTCAGGCAGACAGAGCAAGCCCAGCCCAGCAGAGAGAGAGTGAGAGAGAGAGAGAGAGAGAGAGAAACAGGAGGAATATGCACACAGAAAGACCAGCTTGCCCAACAGCTGAGCAGAGCACTGCGCTGCTGCCTGCCCCTCCCCCTTCGCTGCAAAGAATCACACAGATGCTTGCCGGCTGCCTCCCTCCCATTCACAAATGAGCCGGGCCTCATCCTCCTCTGTCACACTGGTTCTCTCACTTGAACTGCACTCAAAGCAGAGGAGAGAACCAGGCGGCAAGACAGTACTGCAACACATAGAGGCTCCAGAGCTTCCCCTCATCTGGCCATGTCGTCTTCTGTTCCTTCCCCTCTACCCTTCTTCCCCAAACCTGACAGCAACGCACAGACCTGCTTCTCCTAACATGATTTACAGCTCAATTATCAAAAGGCAAAGGCCAACAGAGACATGCAAGACAGTGTGAAAGGTAGAAGAAGAAGAAGGAAACAGTTGAGAGAATGACGAACAATAAATGCTAAACATTCGAAAATAAATCAGAAAGGCCCTTATTAATCTGTTCAACCTTTCCTAAATTCAAGACAATATGTAGAATTTTTACATTAAAACATATAAATGAAGTAAGAATTCACTAAACCTATGTTAGATATTTTTTTGTTGTTGAGTTTAAATTACATCATCTCCAAAAGTTGTCAAAGCCAGAAAAATCCCATATTTTAAAGTTGTAACGGGACGTGTTTGGTCGCAGCGACCGCCATGACAGAGTAAGACATGTTTATTGTTGCCATGGAAACGTGGGATGTTACATCAGAGACCACTACATAATGCAGCGGGAACTGCTACTTCCTCATGTCTGTTTCGTTTGTTGTTTATAAAAAAACGTACCATCCCAACTTGAATATTTTCTATATTTGTAAATGTAACATACAGTATATGCTCTAAAGTACAGTAGTCAGTATTTTATATGCTGAAAAAGATCATAATCTTTCATGCTCTCTGCACGTCTTGTGCTTTGGTGAGAAAAGAAAACACTGGTACCTTGTTGGACTACTTTTTTTTGGCTCTCACCTTATTCATGTTTCCAGCTTGTTGAGCATTTAACACGTGTGCTCCCAACTGTGGCCCTCCTTGTGTGAGTGTCTCTGCTAGCACACTGCTTCCAACACCAGGTCCAGCCCCCTGCATGCCTTGGCCCTGGTACTGCATGCCAGGCCCAGGTCTACCCCGGCCTGCAGTTCCCAGAGCCCCATTCATCACTTGTCCCGCTTGGCCCATGACCCCGTGCCCCTGCCCACTGTTCAGCATGGCCTGGTTGAATCCCATGCCTCCATTGCCTTGTCCAACTGATGCACCTCCTTTCTGGGCCTGGGGAGACTGGTGATTGGTAGCACCTGGCCCCAGTGGGCTTTTACCAAGCACAGCACCCAGTTGGCTTCCCACCATGCCTCCCTGTTGAGGGTTGGCAGAATTTAGACCACCTCCCAAGATGGAGGAACTTCCTGTTCGCAGAAGCTCAGAAAGCTGCTTGTGTTTGGCAGCGGCATCTGGGATGATGGAGTTGAGACCAGGACCCCCTCCTCCTGGTATGCCGTTGGAGGACATTCCCATTCCCAAGTCTCCAGTGGGAATGAGCTCATCTGGAAGATCGTTTTCCAGGTCAAACAGGGACACAAGGTCTAAGGAAGAGAGAAAGAGAAATAAGAATTAAGCACAGATCATTGACACGCACCATTTATAAATGAACAGCAGAACAAGCTGCTGACCACTAAACAGAAAATAATGTATTTGTTTCAAGTGAGAATTAGATGGGTTTTTTAATTAAAGTTAGGACATGACTTAAACGAGAACCAAGATAATCCCAAATAGGGCGAGTTACACCAACCTGAGCCAACAGGTGGCTCCAAGCATTACTTTTGGTCAAATTGATTTGCTTTCTGATTTCCATTTATAAAAGCAATCATGGTCATTGTCATCAATTTCAATGTCTTCACTAAAGTTTTTGTGGCCAAAATAATCTGAGCAGTACAACCTTAATTATTTGAAAAACATCTGTCATGTAAAACTAAATCAGGGACTACCAACCATGATATTAAACAAGATAATAAGCCCACAAATGAATTTCTGATAGAGCGCAACGACATAGCAAAAGATTGACATTCAAAATTCAGATTCATATTATGTGAAGATGATCTTTTTGTACAACTATTTTAATGGAATGAAAAAAAGGAAATTATAAAAAAAAAAAAAAAATCATAATGATGGGACAGGCATTGCACTTGGCCATAAGCCATCTGGATAATATTCTTCTAACAGAAGATCAAAATGCCAAAATATAATTAACAAATTAACCTGTCATACAACCAAATATAACATGTGCATGCAAAACCGAGTTTGTAAATATAAAATTTTGCATCATTGGAGGTTCACAGATGATTGTCTTATCGGCAGCACCACTTAGTGCTGTCAATGCAGATGTCTGTGTATAGAGACGGCTCGTCAGGCCAATGGGCTACATGGACTCTTTTCCAACAGAAAACCAAAACCAGCTAAATGACGACCGACAAACTACTTGAAACGTGCCATGGAAACCTAAATGCCCCCTACACCAAAAACTTGACCCTCACCAACAAATTCTGTAATTCTCAATGTAGATCTGTTTATAGAGGCTGCATTTACACTAAAGCAGTTGAGTCCCTGTTGCAGTACTAAAGTCAATACAAACAGAAAATGAATTGAACATTTATGAAGGTCACAGTCCAAATCACACGTCTATGGCAGGGTCCTTCACATGCAGGTGCAAGTGTGCCTGTGTATGGCATCGCTACGGCCACACCCCTACAAAAGCCAAGCGACAGACGCCTGAATTATTGAGGTTGGACAGAAACATTACCTCTTATCATTGATTTACAGTGGCAATTAATGGGAGCTTGAAGATTTCAGGCTACATAGGGAATTCCTGAGCATTTAGTGCATTAGATTAAAGCAACAAGTCTCAGAACAACAACAGAAATGCATGTTATTTTTGGGGAGAGAGAGGGGGGAATGACAGGCAGGAAGGGAGCCACAGGTGGGATTCGAACCAGGGATGCCCACTTGGAGGAGTATAGCCTCCATACATGGGATGTGCGCACTAACCACAACGCTACCGGCGCCCCCTGACAGTGCAATATTAAGAGCAGGCACACGTTCGAGCGATATGATCCAAACCACAACAATTTTAGAGGAACAAATGCAGAAGACCCAAAATATAACTGAAGGAGAAAAAAGCCTTCAGTATGGTGATTTCTTTCAAAAGTCTGAGACAAAAGTACATGATGATCATATAGCAAGAAATCACATGTCACTTAGCGACAGCAGAAGAATCCATCGACCAACCGGTCCCAACACTTGAGTCACACAGCTCTCACCTGAATAAGACATTGCTGCTGCTGCTGCTTGTAATTTACGCTCAGCTTTACACAGCCACATGAAAATCTTCAATTAGCCTCTTCAGTCTGGGAAGTAATAACCGGCCATGCAACAGACTGTTACTGAGGCACAGAGAGCTGAGATGGAGGTAGAAAGAGCAAAACGCTACTCCTCTGTCTCCCAAGAAAGAAGAAGCTGAGCTTCTACGACATCATGGCAATGCTAAAGACTTTGACACAGATGTGATGTCCTTTGATGCAAACCATTAGACACTGCAAGCCATTAGCAGTAAAAATGTTAGTTTTCTAAGATTTTGGGGTGAACCACAATAGTTGAATATACGCTTTGTTCAAAAGCCAATTTCACATTCGGTCACATTCGCTCATGAAACAAGGATCACTCCAAGCAGCTCTATGAAGATTCTCAATGTCTAACTTTACAGAGATCTGTCTTTTTTTCTCCATATAAATCATGACTCATAACCTATCTTGGGAAAAAGAAAATCAACTTATTAATACTTTTAATGCAATTCTGAAAACAAGTCGTACATTTAAATCCATCTCCTTTAGGCTTGGGCGGTAATACTGTATCCCACGGCATGCAGGGGGGCGGTCAGTGTGTGTGCCTTCAGTGTTCTGTATAGTGAACAGGCATCTGTAATATTGTTGTAATGTCATTATAATGCAGCCGAAATGAGTAGGAAAAAGGATAGATCAAGTCATATCATAGAATAAATTGTTATAACTCAGATTGAACATCAAGTCATTTTAAAACATCTGATATATCCGTGAGCGTGAATTAAAGAGGTTTTTAGAACGAGTACTAACGGCATTCTTTTTTGCATGTGTACATTTATTGTATAGTTATTATCCGCCTTATTGAAGATATGGCATCCTCCTTCAGTTTGTCCCAAATCATCTTGCATTAAGTTTTGTTTTAAAGTCTTTTTAGGGGGTTAAAAAGCTTTGTGAAATTAGGTTAAATGTATACCTTTATCAACAGAGTAGTAAGACAAAAAAGAGCCATTAAAAAAAGAGCTACTTAATTTCATATCAAAATGGGTTAGCAAAGACCTCAGCCGTTGTCCACTCAGTTGAATTGCAGTTTATTTGTCAAACCTTTAATATGGCTCTTTTTACACAGCGCTGTGATGACTTCAAGATGTGCGAAATTAGTGGCACACTACACTTGTAAAGCTGGCGTTACAGTCATTTGCTGCACAGTGTTTATGAGAACCACATCCAATCAAAGAAAATGGCATGGAATATGGGCAGGGCTTCACAAGCAGAGGGCAAAGTAAAAAAAAGGTTTTATCCAATCATGCAGACAGATAGTATCTGAATTTATGAAAAAAAACATATAGCTATGTTTCAGAGGGTTGGAAGAGTGCAAAGTTTAAGAGCAGAGGGCTGCAGGACAGGACTGGTTTGGGCTGCAGATTGGTTTGCATCTAGCACCAATCACCTTTCTGCTCTTTAAAACAGCACACACAGAGGTGAAAAGCTAGCCAGCAGATGCGGGCGACCGTCTCTCCAAGGCTAGTTATGTGGCAAAAACATTCCTGGTTATTTAATTTGACAAATCCTGACTATTTGAGCACTATCCTCTTAAAAGGGGTCATATTATGCTTTTTCTGGTTTTATATGCTCTTTAGTGTGTTTTCTGTGTCCTGTGCATGTTTAGGCACATCTATGTGCAAAAATTCAAAGTCTCCTAGGTCCTCCTGTTAGCTGTAGCATTAGCTGCATGTAACGCTCGGTTCTAGCCCCCCTTGAATAAAATTTGCCAGTGTGATGTTATTGTCAGTGTGAGTTCACTGATCTAAGTCCATTGGCTCGTTGTGGCAAGCCCTGCAGCTCATGTTGCACGCCCGTTAACTTCTGTAGCACGCCCACGATATGCCGTAGCCTGCAGTAGCACAGTAGTGCTAAGGTGCTAATGTTTTTGCTCCCCTCGGAGCCAGTGGCTGCATTCCCAATATGGTAAAAGAGGCGGGACATGTCCGAGAACCGTGCTGAGCGACTGACCAATTACGACAGAGCCAACAGGCCGACCAATCAGATCAGACTTGGCACACGTGGGGACTCTGAACGTGGGCACTTCAGAGCCCTTGAGCCCCAGCATTAAACCAAAACAAACTGCTGTTTGGTGACACCTCCGCTATTCTGAAGCCTCCGCTCTCCTCCAGCAGCATACCTCCAAGCCCTCTCGCAATGCATTGTTGAGTTAGCAGGCTAATGTTAGCACAATTTGGCTAACTCATAGCTTCAAATTGCACATACATTGACACAGAATGACCGTGATCTAAACACACTAACATGACATCTAAATAAGCAGCGAGTCCTGGACTACAACAGCTTTATATGCAGGGTCATCCGTTCCATGTAAACATGATGTAAACACGGCTACGACAACAGTACAGCTGGCGGGACTCGTGCTTCTCACTCACTGTAAATGTCTTTCTGAGTCATGACTATTTACAGAGGATAGACTTGATTTCTGCAATATTTATGTGTAAAATGTCACACCTTCTTCCTTTAAGTTTAACTTTAGAATTCAGATTATTATGATGCTAAAATGTTTGTTTCATGTAGTCTTAGGCTATGGTCATGATCACCATCATGCTTTTAACATCATGTCTTGCCTCAGGAGATCCCCTGCCCCCCGCCGCCTCCTCTTCCAACAGGGATACTTTCCCGCTGTGAGGGGCATATTTGAACAACCAGATCAGCAGCATTTCCAAGGAAGTTCCCCTGAAATTCTCTAGATATTTTCAGGAGTGCATAATAGAAAAAGGTAATAGTCACAGTTCTTAATAGGACTGGAGCCACATTGTTTTCGATTGTTTCCATCTTTTCCAAATTTACAGTAAAACCAGTAAAGATATGAAAGTCACTGTCTCTCCAACATTTGAACAGAGACAGGATATGGGGCTTTGAGCTGAGATGTTTCTTTCATATGCTCAGATTGTTTATCTTGGTGTTAAGCACGTTTTATAGATATCAATCAATCAATTTATATTTGAATAACGTCAACTCATAACAAGTGTTATCTCGAGACACTTTACAAAAAGCAGGTAAAAGACCTCAATCAGTGTTCATTGATTGCAATATTTTGCTAATTCTGACACTGTGACAAATCTTTCCATTCATCCATCGTTGTACTTGAATGCATGGTAATGCTAACATAAGCCGTTTTCACATGTACTCCAGAAGATAGCTGGAGACTATCCCTGTCAGACGAGGGGGGGGGTCTCCTGAGGTAACAAGTGACGTAAAAAAAACAACGCGGAAGTAGCGGACGAACACAATAATGACAATGTTTGAATTTAGATCAATGCTACGCGTAGTCCAACGGAATGAAAAAACATCAACAAAAGAGCGGAGAACAACATAGTTGCGAACACAAAACGTAATGCAGTCGTTTAATTACGTTCAGGGAGATGGTAATGGTCGTGTGCAGAAGTAACAGTATAGAAAGTTCACTCCCCCTCCTATTGGCACGAGGTGAATTCTCCGGAGAATATACTGCTGCGTTCTCACATCAGCCCACTCGGACTTGCTGGGGAAAACATTTCAGGAGATTTCTCCAAGTGTGAAAGCCCTAATAGATGCATGATGCTCACAGGGGTTGGTGATCATGAACACAGGCCAGACAGAGGAGGAGAAAGAACGTTGGTTTGGTTAGCTCTAGGGTTGCAGAGTGGCTGCCTATTTCATACCTCTGGTGCTGACACGCCCACTCAGCCATACAAATGAAAACAAGCCTGACACTGGTCTGTGGCCCCAGGTGCAAACACACACTGACACAAGACTAGAAGTCCATAAAAAACTGTCACACATTAACATTAACTTAAAAAAACAGACTGCTAATCTTTGGCTTTGAGCAAGAGCTGTGTGCCGATTAAGTGTGCATCGTCACAAAACTGGTTTGTGGAAAAATGTTAAACTTATACGCAAGTCATATTCAGTTTCTTTATAAATTTGTACTCTACACACCGATTCAGGGTTCCATTTCATTCAGTGAGTCCTTATTCAAATGAAAGGAAACAAGCTAATTTAAGGGTGCACACAAAAGCAGGAGATAGGAACAGGGCTGCTAGCTACAGGTTCCTCACAGATCTGCCTCTGAATTTTCTCAGAATTAGGTTTTTTTTTTAAGTGTAGAAAAAAAAGACAGGGCTTATCCTCCCATCGGCAGCCTGGCACTTAAAATCTTCTCAGTGTACTTAAGACCTTGAGCTGCACCCCGGACTTCAAAGAGAGGAGGTCTACAAGAGACACTGTGCAATGTCTCACTAAATACATGCGTTTGTGTGCGTGTCAACTGAGACTGAGAGGGTTTCTGGCAGCAGTGGGGGAGGAGACTCAGTGTCAGGCTTCTTTATTGCCCAGCGAAAGCTCCTGTCACCCCTCTGAGAAGATGAGCTACCTTGGCTGAGGACCCGAGGACCGTCAACCCGCCTAGATAATACAGCCAAACACAGAAGAGGAGACAGACCAAACAAAGAAGCTCCACTCTTCTTAGCTGTTTGCAAAAGGTTGACAGATGTTTCCCATCTCGGCTGTGATTCAAAATTAAGCAACTGCGCCATTCTTTAGAAACTCTCTAAAACTATAAAAGTTTGGTGCAATCCCAAAACTGAAATCATGGACATAAGATGTGCTCAATACCTGAAGTCCTTTGGTGCTGCAAGAAAATGACCAACAAATCTATGTTCAGTTCACAGCAAGAATACACATAGAACGACATGAAGGCTGCTGAATGGACCACTGATAAAGACACATCCATGATTTTACCTCTAGCCCTTAGTGTTGTGAAAATGATGCCCAACAGTTGTCATCACCTTTCTGTCTCTCTCTTTCATTTTTCAAGTCTTTCAGTCAAAATTAAGTTTTAGCAAAGTAGAGAAGACTTAATATGGAATTTTCCTCCACTAGACCAATAAAGATCATGTGATTGCCAGAAAAAAAATTAAATCGGTAAAACAGGTATTTTGATAATTAATAATATTTTGATTAAATGCCAACAGTCGCCCGGAGCCAGTTACTTCATTTTGTGCTTTTCTCTCAATGGAAGCTGCACATTGTTGGGTTTTTGACTATGCACGCTGCAATAAAAACGTGCATGAATCTGCATGTCACAACAACATGTTACACATAGTCACATATGATGTATGTGGATGGATGGATGCGAGTGTGCATTGATACCTGGATTGTAGTAGTGATCCAATTCTTCTTATATTTATGCATTTTTAAACTTTTCTTTTGTATCGTCATCTTCTTTTCTGATTCTTGCAACTGAGTGCTTGTAACATGTACAACACTGATGTTACTGGTGTATGAAGGAAACAATACAATCTCAATGCAGGAAAACAGAAGATTGTCAGTTGTGTCCAAACTACAGCACACTGTCCTGTTTATTGTTGTTCACCAGAACAATAAAAACAAGCGGTTCATATGTTCAGCCACATTTCAGTTAACAGCGATTTTTGACGACTCAAACACTTAACTCCATCTTTCCTCTGACGTATTCAATCATTTTTTTTATTCATGTTTGTGAATGTAGAGCCCACTTTTTAGACAGCATAATCAGCTCTACCACAACAAAGTCCTAGTGACACTACATATGTGACAGGCGAGGTCCAGGTTAGACAAGTCCTGCAGAAGTTTGAAGTATTGGTAGGTTTTGTTGAAACCTCAAATGTGTCACATTTGACGCCTAGTTCAGCACATTTCTATTACTCCAGTTTTTTTTAAACTGTCAGCAAAGAAGTTGAATAAAGTTTCTTCCTGCGTATGTTCCAAGATAACATTAACCTTTCAAGTATCTTGTTGAATGAAAGAGGGGTTGAACCCTTCAGTGGCAGGATGACCCAGTGGTGGATGAGAGTGTCCTTCTATCAGACACAACACTGGTGCAAGTGATCCTGCTGTCAAGAGTCTCCACTGATCCAATCCAACTTCATGGATACAGAGAAGACATGCTCCTCAAGATAATGGGATCACAACAATGTATCATGTCTAGAGCTAACAATAAGAAGGTGTGTGTGTGTGTGTGTGTGTGTGTGGTGGGGGGGGGGGGGGTGCTTATTAAGACAGCACCAGACTCCTGCAGATCTACTGTCAACATTTTATTCTGCTGTTCCTTAGGTGTGTTATAAGCACCGTTGATGTAAGTTTTTAGCCAGAGCTCATTCTTTGTACAGTTTGATAGATGTACAGAAACAGTCCTGCAGGGACTTGGTGTACAGTTTGCCTGTGATATATTTGCACAGCACTACTGAGGTGGCCGCTGGGTTAACGTTTCTTCTTCCTTAAGATGCATCCAGTCCTCAATAAAGAAGCAGGACTCTACAGTGTGTGACTCATTGCAAGGTAAACCTTCTCGTCAATATTGTGAAACCACGTTACCTGGGCCATCTGATCCTGAGAGAGGTGAATTCAGCTTGGGTCGCTTTGCAGTGGGGGGTCCGACATCCAGCAGATTGTCAGCCATCCTGGACTGGTTGGTAAATTTTGTGAATGGATGATGATGCACGAAAAAAAAAAAAAATCAGTCTAACTAGTCAGCTTCGAGGTCGTTAAAACGGGCCACTTTCGCAAAAAAAAAAAAAAAAAAAAAAAAAGCAGCAATATAAGTGTTTTTTCTTCTCTTGACTGGCAGACTGGCGAAATGTTGCCTGGTGTAAAAGGCTTCAAAAGAAAGGCAACAGCGCCACGCTTCGCCACCGAAGATCACCCCATGATAATCCAACACCCAACACCCACATAATTATCCTCAATAATCGCGTCCAAAAATTATTTCAGTTCAAGAAAAATAAATAAAAATCAATTATAAAATATTACACAACGCTTGAGCAAATCCCTTTCTCCGCAGATCGCCGGTTTCGCGTCTGTACAGAATCATTTTTTTCGCAGCCGAAACAAGCGGCCATAAAATCTTCCTCGGGCTTAAATAAAAAGAGCAAAATTCAAAAAATATTTTCTATGAAGTGGATTATTTTTCTGGTCGCTGTCTCCCGGTAAATACAGCGTCAAGAGACGGAGATACGGCGAGAAGCGGCGCTCGGTAAAAGGGAAATCAAATATACAGGGGGCTCTCCGGACGATAAAAACGCATGTTACCATCACATGTTCGCATTAATTGTCATCGGACGAACAAGCACTTCGATTTTCTGGACGAAAAAAGCCGTTTGAGCCCGGTCTGGATCGCTCCGGTCGGTTTTTAAAATTAATGCTCCCCCCGAAATCCCGATTCTGAGCCGCGTCAAGATGGCGGCTGTTGATTCCTCCGATACAAAAAAAAAAAAGTTTTTTTTTTCTTCCCAGCTAGACTGTGGGGGGAGGAGGGGGAGGTGTCGCGCTACGACGCCCTGACGTAAACCTGTGTCCAATTGTGCGTCATGTGGACGTACGTAGATTTGCCTCTAGGGAAGGAATAACCCAAAAAGAAAATAAATTACTCCAGCAACCTGCTTAAAACTTAACAAACATATAAATGGTATGACTACCTACAGAAAGAGGGGTTCAAAAAATGCGCTTAACTTACAAATAATGCTTGAATTTATTCATTAAATACTGTGCTGTAAAGTAAATGATTAAGTCGTTACTTAGGTAATACTTTTTACTGGTAGGACCAAATAGATTGTTGCAATTTATTAGTTAAAGTTTGGCATTAAAGAGCTTACGTGCACAATGTAAAAACAAGCAAAATGTAAGGCCTACATTAACAACTGAAGGGGAAGCTTCAGCACCCCTACTCTTTTCTATATATTATGCAAACTATGAAATTAGCAATAATGCTTAATAACACATAAGCAACATTTTATGGTTTTGCATGTTTGAGGAGTATAGCCTATTGAAACTATTTCATCAGAAACAGAATCAGCCTTCTGTGCAAAAACAGTTTACATATTCATGACGTTTATCTTCCTTTTAAGTTTCTCATAATGTATTTACACCGAGTTTCAAGAAAAATGTATAGAAAGATAGAAAGACAACACAACAGAAAACAAAGAAAACTAAACTAAACAAAAAACATGACAATTAAAAAACTGATGTATACATCCATGTAAAAAAAAGATGTATATAGAATATGATTAGGGCCTATAGAAGGTTACAATTATTATCAAAAATACAATGTTAATTTCCTCCATTTATGTAAGAAGCTGGATATATAACATGATGTTTTAGTAAGTTATAACGTTTTTTTGTATGGAAAAGCTCGGGTTGCAAATGTAAAGTTAGGCAAAAATGTCAAATAATATAAATACTTAAAGTATGAAAGTGCAACACTTAATTAAAAAAAGACATACAAGTTGTTTTGGAAGAGCAGAACTTGAAAAAAAAAATTAACAATTAGCAATAGTTAATCAGTTCGCCTCTAAAATTACTTGTCAAAGGTTTTACTGAGAATAAAATAGTTTGAAGTAATTTTTAAAGAAAATATGCCAAGGTTCAATGTGTAAATACCGCTGTGAGACAGTAAATTAAATGTTTTGTGGGCAAAACAAGTGGACATCATCTTGGGCTTAGGGAAACACATATTGACTATTTATAACCAAACATGTCATTGATTAAACAAGAAACCAATCATAGTCGTTACATGTAGCTCTATACTAAACCAACTACTACTGCCTGTAGAGCACAGGCTATAAACTCCAGCCGACAACATTCCCCAGCAACTGAATTTTATTCAATTTAAACCTTCACTTGCATATCTATCAGCATGCTATGTACAAAACATGTTCACACAAAAAGAGGCAACAATTCATTTTAAACAGTAGGACGCTACTTAAATACTGCCGACACACCATTCATTTGGCCAGTTTAATGTCTTAGAAATGAAGAAGTGTCTTTTGACTGAAGTCTAACTATCCTAACATGTCCTAATTATTGAGATGATTAAACTAATCAAAATGTCCTGGTCACAATCCTGCAAGAAATTAGAGCATCCCTTTAAAAAAAAAAAAAAAAAAAACACAACCTCACTGTTTTTTTTTTTACAAACACTCGTACATTTGTTACACACATGCAGGCAAACAGAGAGCACAAGTATTTTTCCAACTTTGTTGAAATGACCCAGTTTGTAAGACTACTAAATACTATAGTACATGCGCTTATATAAATAATAGAAAATGCTCTGATACTCTACAATAAAAAGGCAAACTGTACAGTAAAAACGGTGAGCGCCTTGTGCAAATGTGTTTTAATGGTGAATCTAGTGATGACCTTTCTTGCACAACACAATCTGCAAATCAAGAATGCGATATTACACAGAGAGAGATGACGATGACACTCTTTGGCATCAGTTTTCTCAGTTTTCCCATTCTGCTGGTTCAGAATGTCACTTACATCTGGATGAATCAAAGCAAACCATCATCTCATATCTAAAGTTAAACTGAAGAAAAAGAAAGCAAGTAGCGATCAAAATTCTGCGTTGACACCCTTTCAAACTTGTGTCTGTGCGTCTCAAATACAATACTATTCAAGAAATAAAAAGGGTGACAAAAGAAATATAGCTTATACGCTCACCTCACACTCAAGTATCATGACCTCTACTGAGTATCTTACCTTGGTTTTTACAAAAATCACTGTTCTAAATGTCCTTTTATTGAATTCTACAAAACAGAAATATTGTACCAGTACGAGGGTTGTGTGCTCAAAAGCATAAAGAAACTGATTTTCCTTTTAAACCAATAACAATAAGCTATTTCTTTATTGCATTTAAAGCAACTTACTTCCTCTTTGCAACATATACAATACACAAGTACACAACTAGAGGCCAAATAAAAGCAATTCAAAAGCAGCATAAGGCCAATTAACGTGAAATGTTGATAGAAGAAAAGGCACTGCTCGAATGTCATGACCTTTAGACAATTTTGTTTGATTTTAGCGCAAAAATAAACATTCTCCTGCCTATGCACAAGCTTTAAAGAAGTTAAGACTTTTTTAAAGAAATGAAAAGCAACTAAGAGCAAACTAAAAATTAACAAGGGAAACCAGGAGTATATTTAAAAGGCACAAGCATTATATTTTTATGCACAGAAAAAGCTTAATAATATAAGCCAAGCCTAATATTCAACTATTAAGATGTTAATGTAAGGTGTGAAATTACTTGAAGATAAAAGGTGGAAAATATGTTCTGATTAAATACTTGAAATATCAGATTTTTCAATGGTCTATTTAAAAGATATGAATTGATAAGGACCTTTAAATAAAAAAATAAGACACAGCATAGATTTGGTTGTACAACTTGTTTTTGCCTCTGAGCACACAATCCTGTTTGCTGAGAAACAGCGAGAGATAGAAAATGTAATGGCAAAAGAGAAGTACCGTTTATTCAGCTTGAGTTTGCTAAAGGAATGACCCACAGCAGAAAAAAAACACCTAAAGTAATAAATATGAAATTCATTTGATGCACTGCATTTGCATGTACAGTGAAATTACATTACAATGATAATAAGAAGCAGTTAGTGCGTTCAGCTGTCTTTCAAATCATAGTCAATATGATAGGGCACTTCACATGAACAGTTCAAGTTTTGTGTGACAATAAATACAATAAAACACATTTAGTTAAGATTGGTATTGGTGACATTCGACTTTGATTATCCATGTCTAAAAAGTACGATCAACTATCACACTGTGTTAATCCATAGCAAACCTAGGCTGTAGGTTTCTCTACTCAATCTAAAATCACAGCTAAAGACACTCTACAGGTACAGCAATGCCTGTTAGGAGTCACTGAAATACTCGTCAACACTTATCACAGTTTGAGTCCCCATGAGAGTCTGCGTCATGTGGGACACTACCAACAGTCAGCCTCATCTATGGGTGCTGCTGTTGTAAGCATGCTGATTAAGAGTAGCTGAGACCATCATGCCTCAGTACTGAGGCAATACAAAGATCTAAACTGAGGCCAGAGACAAAGCTGCCACATCAGCAAAAAGAGCTTTTTTTCTCAACTGCGTTCCTAAACTGTTTGTCATCCTGCAGTTGCACCCAGTCATTCAACTAGCTCATAAGCACCTCTCCTCATTAAACCCTGCATGATCTACACAGACACACACACACACACACACACACTCACACACTGTACTCATGAACATACACACACACAACATGCAGGCCGACCTCGTCTACCCTTAGACTGTTTAGATTAGTGACTTCAGTGCCCTTCATGAAGAGTTTTCTGGAGGAAACAGACTCTGATGCATTTCAAGTGCAGAGATTACTAATACTTATCTTGTTGTATCGTACTGTATTTCCCCTCGCTCTCCACGCTTTCCAAATGTTGTGGCACTTTCTAACTTTAAGGTCAGCTTGCTGAGAACTTCTTGGCAAAAAAGGCAAAGTATCGTAGCAAAACATAGTTTAAGTAAAATTGTAACAAAAGCGAAGCAGTTATTCCAAAAAAGATTGCTTATTTACACTTTTCCCTTTATGTTCTTCATCTCTGACTCCAAAAGGCTTAGTGTACACATTATTCTATTCTAAAGGCACTTAAAAGACATGTGTAAGAAATGATTAAAGATTAAAGGTGTACTTATAATCAAGTAAGTTAATTGGAGATGACGCAATCTGTAACAGCCAAAAAGAAGTTTCAAAGTCAGCCATCACATCTTCCATTTCCTGTGTGTGTTCCTGTTTCAGGCTCACTTTGTGGTCCAGCCAGCCCCCTACACTGATAACATCAGCCACTCAGATTTACAATAAAACAACCTGCTGCCTGGCTGATGCAGAAAAGAAGCCTGTGGGACTTTCTCGCTGATTCTACCCGTGGTAGAACCAAATGGACACTGGTTTTATGAATGCCATCTGGCTGGAACAAGTGCTTAAAGGGTAAAGGATGTATGAAAAAAAAGCGGACATTCCAACAAATTCCTAAAGCTTAGTGAACTCTCCAACATAAATGTCATAATCGTCGCATTTGTCCTTCTTGGTATCTTTCAGGGATATTGTTGTTGAATCTTGAAGTCTGTTTTGTCGGTCAGAGGATGACACGGTGAGTTTGTTATTTGCAGAAGATGGAGGTCCTTCTCGGTTACCGACAGGCATAGATGGCATGCCACTGCGAGACACAGGTCGCCTGGCATTGGAGGTATCAGTGGAGAGACGTCTTTCACTGCTGTCCGTCTCCTTCTCCTGGCTAAGTCCTGTGGCAGGAGAGGAACCAGCACTGGAACTTGGTACCAGAGTATTGGTGCTACTTGCATTTGTGCTGGTTGCAGGCACCATGCTGGCAATTTCATCAGTTGGCGAGCGCCCGATGCTGCCGTCCACCTGAGCCCGGATTTCTGG